CCGAGGCTACACGAGTGCATGGTGGTCAGCCTCGTTCCCACTTGGTGCAATGGCTCTTGGGTGCCGCGAAGTATGGGCACTATTTGACTTAGGGGCGTTCCGGATTCTCAGTGGTATATACGGGGTTTCTCTTATTATAGTTACCCTCATGAGTCTATGCGGAACAGCACTGTTCGATTTTCCTCATGAAGATATTTGGCGCCCGCGAAGTGTCATTTTATCCAAAGTTGAAGCACTAGAAGAAGGATCAAATGAGACTCAATGAGCAACCTTATAGAGCTAGCAATACTACACAGAATATGGTCACTAGTTGTTGAATAAAAATTCCATATCCGTTTGAGAGAGACGGTTCAATGCAGCATCATCAGCGCCTATTGTTGCATTGATCATATTAGCTTTTTTCTCCTGTAGTTCGATTATACGGCTTTCAATGCTGTCTTCGATCACCAATCGAGTAATTGTGACAGGTCGATGTTGACCTATGCGATGTACACGATCACCACTCTGCCACTCGACTGAAGGGTTCCACCACGGATCAAGAAGAAACACTTGGGAGGCTTCACAAAGGTTCAAAGCGACTCCACCAGCTTTGAGAGAAACTAAGAAGACCTCGACGCTGGGTGTTTCCATAAAGTGTTTGATGATGCTATCTCGCTGAGTGGGGGACATGGAACCTTGAAGCTTGACGGTCTTAAAACCAGCGCGGGCTAGTCTCCATTCAACAAGATCCAACATCGATGTAAACTGAGAGAACACAATGCTTTTGATTGTTTGCTTGTTGCCTCGAAGTTTGAAAAGCTCCTCGAGAAGAGCTTCGATCTTGGTAGAAGATCTCCAAGTATTATCCATACGAATACGATTGACGATCGAAGCTTTTTGAGAGATCTCCTCACCTATTTCGATTGCTGGGGCGGTGAGATCAAGAGTCAGGCCGACATGGCAGACCGGGCACTCGAGTTGGTCATCTGCACCTGTGAAGCCCTCAATGTACTCCTTAATGCACATCCGACAGAATAAGTGATGGCACTTGGAGCGGATAGCATCTTCAGCCTCGTCATCACACAAGCGGCAAACAAGACCCTCCATATGGACATTGTCATCTGTTGCACGTCGAAGTACTAGATCTGGATGGTCTGCAATTTGACGCATACGGGTGATCAGCGTGAAGATATTCGCATAATTATTGAGCACCACACCTTGGTTCACATATGTGGAAAATGTTCGTCGGGAGTCACTAAACACGCTTGCATACAGGTCCTTCTCTTCTTCGTTGAAATAGTCCCTTCGAACGTTAACGACACGCGGTGGTAGACCGAGATCGTCGGCTCGCTCTACCTTTGTTCGCCGTAGCATGATTTGTTTCAGCAAAAGTCTCATTTTGCTCATGGCCACTGATTGCTGGTCAGGCATACGCTGAATTTGTTTCAAGAGTGAATGATTGAAATAGTTGACATGCTGCATAACCACATGGCCACACGATGTACATTTTTGCCTTGCGAATTTCCATTCACTGGAAGCACAATCGCACCTGGTACAGTAGTAGTTGCAGAACGGTTCAACCCTTAAAAAACGGAGTAAAGAATACAACTCTCCAATTCTGTTTTGCAGTGGGGTGCCGCTCAAACATAAACGATACAATGCATTAACCATGAAAACTGCTCTGGAGGTACTGGCTTGACGATCTTTGATATTATGGGCTTCGTCCAGAACAACCCGGTGAAAAGTAATGGAATGAAGGGGTGATTTCTCGTAGACTTTGCGATCTTGACGAACGACTCCACTTTGCTGGCGGCGCCAACAAGACTCCATCACTGCGTAGGTAGTTAAAATGATATCATGTTCCCTTATCTGAGCAGCATTTTTGGGCCTATTTGAGCCGTGGAAAATTAGGATAGAAAAATTGTCACCTGCGTATTGCTGAATTTCATTTTTCCATTGCATAACTGCGACAGTGGGCGCAATAACCAGAATCGGACCTGCCCGCTCTTTATCGGATAGGAAAAGAGCAATTGTTTGAATAGTTTTCCCCATTCCCATTTCATCAGCTAAAATCCCGCCATGATAAATACCTTGCTCTTGGTTTATGAGCCAGTACAAGCCCTCACGTTGAAACCTCAAAAGGGAGCATTTTAGTTCTTCGGGCTGATCCATTTCGCAGACTTCTCGCTCGGGCAGAGACGCAAGGTCCTCGAAAACAGTACGAAGCTCTGGGTGGAACTCTTTGAGCCCACCTTCCATTCTATCGAATTGCTTCTGTACGTTTGTTCTCTTATCGTTCGGATCTTTTTTTTTGGCCGGCGTTTTGCGTTTTCTTCGAACCGGCGGCGGCGCCGGAGCTTCCGCTTCGACTTCAGGTGGAGAGGTTGCTGCCGACTCGGATACCGCTCTAGAACTCTCTATCGTTTCGGCCATTTCGTCCATGCTATCGAGATCAGATGTGGCGTGCCTCGCAGGGCTATCTGTACTCAAGCGGCGGCGAGCTTTTTTGGATCGCACTTGTACAATTTCAACATCACTATCTGTTAAATCATCATCCGACGACTTCCAACTAGGCGACCGTGCAAAACCACCATCGCTCGAGCTACCGCCACTATCATCGTCGGTAGTGCTCATGAGTCGAAGTAAGCAAATTGATCTGTGGATACTTATGCAAAGGCTACAGATTTTGGGCAGTGGAAAGTTTGGATACCTCGAAACACGCCTATCTAGAAATAGGCCCCAAAACATTCAATAAGCGCGTTAAATTGTTAAACACTGCTTTTTGCGCTATACCTTTTTGCGGTGTATTGGCTTCTGTCCTCGCGAGCCATTCAAAGGACGTCTCAGGCCTCCGCCAATGACAAAGCATGCTGTCTCGCACTATCCGCTCTGCTCGGTTTTCTACCACTGTGCTGCGCGCTGGTCCGCCTGCTGTTATCCCCCCTGTCCGCCGGGTTGGTGCTCTGAGAGGGGGCTTCACCGGGTTCTTGGTTGGTGTCACGTTGACCGGTGCCGGTGCCTACTATTACCTGTTTGACGAGTACCAGGCTGCTCAGCGGGCTATTTTGACTGATGTTATTGGCCTTCGTCAATCTTTACAGGAGCTACAAGCCACCATTGATGAGCTCAAGACAAACACTGAGGAGCCCAAGAAAACTGAAAATTGAGACTGTTTTCAGATTCTCGGTCTAAAGACAACGAACATGTCCGCTTAGGCAACAAAATATATAATTAAATAGTTGCAACTGCTATCTGCTATTTGTTTTTCAAAACGAAGAAATAAGCTAGCAGCAATTTGCCTTGAAGCATTGGTATTAGTATTACAGAGAGTTAGTATCTGTTAAGATCGGACAGATCGGAAACAACAATAAATTAGAGCCCAGTCCACTCATAGATCGTGGCAATCTCGCCCTGCTTGATCTCTTTTTGGCCATAAACCACGTTTTTGTGTCGCTGCAACGTAGCAGCAACGTCGTCGCGTAGGCTCTTGGGCACATGTTCGAATAAGGGTCCAGCAACATAGAAACGGTCAGTTCTGCCGGTACGGTCATCATCCGCTTTGTGCTGCTGGGCCCGCATCAGAGCAATGGCTGCGTGGACGCTCTTGGCTACCTGGCGATTGTGACGCTGACGGAAAGCCAAGAAGCTGCCAACCACGCTCAGAAAGACAAACAACGAAAGAACGTACAGAATCGTGAATTTGCGTTCCTCAAGCCACACAAACATGCTGAGTCTGAACCGGCAAAGAATGTTCACGTGGGCTAAAGAGTGTGATACAAATATCGGCGACGATTCGACACATTCGGTTTCACCTCTGTATCCATTGTCATCTTCGTCGTCGTGGTACTGGGCTGTTTCCGCGGGGGGACAGTTATGGGGGAATACCTGGGTTAGTTTGTTCCTGGGTTCAAATTTTTGAAGACTTACCATTTCAACGTCGGGGTACTGATTAAGTCCCGCGGACACCGAATCCCAAAGTGCTCGGAAGTCCTCTTCCGAGAGTTGGGGCGCTTTGAGGGCCAACAACTCGTAGTATAGCTCGTCCTCAGTCATTTCGGGTGATGGAATATCACCATCGCACTCATACCTGGCACGCCGGTTACGCAATACGTGTACTGCACGCTCGGCTAAAGTTGCCAATAACCTTTCAGTCTCGACATCTCGCTCGCACCAAGGTCCATAAAAACCTAGCAGGGCGAACAAATCGCGGCGCTCAATGTAGCCCTCATCACACTTGATTTCGGTGTTGGCAAAGCACGTAGCGTGCTCAGGGCACGGGTAACAGGACGGGGCAACGTAGTCGACTCCATGTCGAACATATTCCTGGACTTGCTGGAGGTAAGGATCGCTCAAAGAGAAAGAAGCAAACCAAGGATAATCACGGGTCGGCGGGACGAGCGTGGTATCGCAGAACCCTAGCTTTGACCTTTCGGCGGGCCACCAAACTAACATAGTGGCAGCTACCAGCGCGGTGAAGGCAACCAGCGCAGTGTTAATAGCTGAGAAAAAGTGTTGGGACACGTGGGGTCGAGAACTAGCGAATTCTTCGATGGACTGTTCGGCAATACTTTGCTCTTCTTTGATCTCAACCGGAGTCTCCGGCTCAGGAGCTGCGGGGGTGGCATCAACTTCAATATCCGCGTCATTTTCAGTGTCTGTAGGTAAAGCGGAAGAAAGCTCGGGCGTACTCATAGGATCTGGCGCAAGTCTTTGAGCAAAAATGTTCGAAACGTTCAACGCCTGGAGACTGGGCATAAAGCCGCGACGCTCAGAAACCACGCGGGGCTTCTCGTCGACCTCCATTTTAATTTCTTCAGTGGCCTCTTCCACCGGAATCAGCTCGCTTTCTGAGAAATTCGTGAATTGGGCCATAACGTCTACTTCCTCGTCTGACTTGATTTCTGCTTCAGGGGCAGTCGCGGAGGATCGAGCAGCCACTTTATGGGGACGATCTTCCTTGTGACCGAGATGATCACTGGTGCGTTTGCGAGAGGATTGGAACACATTCTCTTGGGTGAATGGACTGCTCTTGTGTGCTGAACTCGCGGTGGACTTTTTGGTGGGCGTTGTCGCATTGCTCTGGGTGGTCTCACGGCGCGGTGTACGACCCCGAGTAGCTGGATCCGCTGCAGCTTCGGCTGGTGCCCGACGCTTTCGTGGCGACCGAGTAGTTTCTTTGAGGCCAGCTGCTAGATCGGCTTCGGTCATCCTAATCGGGGACTTGGAACGGGTACGCGGGCCACGCACCCGGATCTCGTCGACATTGGGAGCCAGTTCCTGCAGATCGTCAGGTAGCGACACCTTCTTGTTGATCTTGCGCCGACGTGGCGACTCGGGCACTGAAGCGTTCTCTTCAGGAGGGGCCAGCGAACGCTTGGAGCGTGCAGAGCCCGCAGACGCAACTCGCTTTTCTGGCGATTGCGACCTTAATCGCGTAGAACGGCGAATAGGTGACGCAGAGCGACCTCGCGGGGATGCATCATGAATATTTTCGCTCGAGGGATTGGGGTGCAGGTACTGCTTGCGAAGAGATTTGAGGTTTGGCACAATGGCTGTCTCGTACAGCTTCACGTAGTCGGCTTTGCGGGTTGTGTGCGGCGGAATTTGAACATCGTGCTTGTTCAGAATTCCCCGCAAAAGTGGAATTGTCAGTTTGTGGTAATCAAACTCTTCTTTCAGATACTCGTTCTCATCAGACATCGAGCTGGCTGTGAGTTTATCCTAAGGGTGTGTAGGGGGGGAAAAGGGTGGTGGGGTTTGAGGGCAGAGTGATGTTTGTTGTTGGCTTATGAAAGCAAAACAAACAGCGGGCGGGCTTTCCGCCAGAGGTGGGCAACGACTTCCGGGTAACCACGACTTTTGGAATGTAGCCGTAAAACAGCCACGACGCGGCAAGTTGGTAGAGATAAATAGGTTTCAGTAAGTCATTAAGCTGATATGCTTCGTAGTAGATGTAAAATTAGGTTCACCAGAGTTTGAGGACAACTTGGCCAGACTCGGCAGGTCTGGCGTCGACCAAGTGATTTGAGATAAAATACTGAACGGTTTGCAGGGTCCTGGGAACCACAAACCCGAGCTCGTACGTCATCAGTCCGTTTATTAGCTTTTCTGCTTCATCTGGGTCCAGCCCATTAGCCTTGCATGTGAAATTCAACATGACATGTCTGATATCAGATTTTAACTGGTCAATTCGTTCTGGCGGTACCTCCTCATTCCTTGCATTATTTCGCTGCGATAGAATGCTCTGCAGATCACTGCTCATGAGTTTTTGGTGAGTTATACTCGTCTCAAGCTCACTCGCCTGCCTCTTCAGGGCCTCAATGGTCTCTTGCACTATTTTAGCTTGTTCGATACTGTAAAACTCGGTCAATGCTTGCGAATCGAAGACCTGTTCCAGCTCTGTCTCACTAATCTCGCTTTTTTGCAAAAGCGCTCGCAGCTTCTCGTGCTTCCACTGCAAATCATGACTAGGTCTATTATCCATCTGTATAGACCATACAAATCTTAGTTCGCAAACCTCTTTTTCCCCCTCGCTCGCGGGTTCGTCCTGCTTAAACCGGTAAACTTTAGGGAGGATGGCCAAAATTTCCTTAGTCAGAACACACCAGCTTGGGCATCCTCACTTTCCTCGACATTTAGCTCAATCGTGATGTCTGTTATGGACAACCAACAGTTTGTGGTTGGTAAAGACATTGATTTCGAGTTTTCAGGGTCGGGACCACAGCATGAACCAAGTGCTCCGCTTGAAAATGGGGCTGGAGCGTCAAATGTGTCCAGTAAGAAAAAGCGAAAGAAAAAGAAGAAGAAAAGTAGCACGAAGGCGCAAGTACGACTGCATGCCGACGGCCAGGGCTTGACTATTGATAACATTGATGCAACCATGGAGTCTGATCTTCTTGAGGCTGCGAATACAGTAGCGCAGAGCCTCAGTGGCTCGATGGAGAAGGCTGGTCCTGCTTTGAGGCGTGATTCATTGAAATGGTCACTCGGTCGCCTTGAGATGGTCGCTAATCGCTCTAAAAAGAGTCCCTTCTGGGATCTGAGTCCGGATCAAAAGCACCAAATACACAACTTTTGGATCAACCTCAGCGAAGCCGAACGCCGTGATCTGTTGAGGCTAGAGAAAGAACGGGAAGATGTTTTGCGAATAGACAAAAAATTATCCGATACAAAGTACCGCCAAAATCATAAGACATGTTCTTGTTCCGGGTGCGGGCGCAAGCGTAATGCGTGGCAACACCGACATGAGGGCGAGATGGAGAAAATATACGACGAGTACTCCGCTGAACTCGAGTTTATTGCTGATTGCTTTACCAAGGGTATGTTTACTGAGGAGCATGAATCCAATGAATCGGCAAACGAGTCTCGTAACCTTGCTGAGGAAAACACATTCTCTTCCGTGGAGTTCGAAGCCGATACCCCAGATTATTACGACGAAGAGGATATCCAAGAGGAAGCAGAGCTCCTTGCTGAGATGACCGCGGAACGTCGTAAAAATAAGGGCAAACGGTTAGGAGGCGGTATTCTCTCAGTTGCTGATGACTTATTGCAAAACGATGGCAAGCGGTTTGTCGACGTCATGGAACAGATGGCCGAATACAAAGTGATTCGAGAAATCGACATGGCAGCGAGACATGATGCTGCTGTTTATGTTGCCAATCAAAACCGAATAAAACGGGGCGAGTTTTCAGATCCTGACGAAGACGAGTTTGACGATGAAGAAGAGGACGATCTTGATTGTGATGAGGACGAAGACGAGGACGAAGACGAGGATGAAGATGACCATGATCTTCAAACCATTCCCTTTGACAGTTCCACTGGTGATGTTGCGAAAGTAATGCTTAGAGGATTCGCAACCAGAACCTTTGAATATCGTATTTTATTGGCATTCCGCGAGCATGTTGCCAAGCAGCGCCAGATGTCACTTTTCGCTGAACTCGAAGCTGAGGAAGCTCGTATACGCGAAGAGAAGGAGCAAAAGAAGCTTCGCGATCGTGAAAAGCGTAAAGATAAAAAGCGAGCTCAACAGAAATTGAAAGAGGAGGAGCGTGCGCGCAAAGAGCAGGAGCGGAAAGCCAAAGAAGAAGCTCAGAAGGCCAAAGAGGAAGCAGCACGCTTAGCGCGTTTGGAGGAGCAAAGACTCAAACAAGAAGCGCACCGTGCCGAAATTGAGGAGCGTCTGAAGAAGCTGGCTTTGGAAGAGGAGCGTGAGCGTCAGCGCGAAAAGGAACGTAAAGAGCAAGAACGACATGAGGCAGCGCGTCGGGAACTGGAACGTCTCAAAAGCGAAGCCGAAGCTGCAGCCAAAGAAGTGGAAGCTCGAAAGCGTGAACAGGAGCGTTTAGAAGCAGAGAGGCTCAAGGAAGAAGAACAGCAAAAAGTAATCGAGCGCCAGCGTTTGATCAACGAGCAAGTCCTTCAAGAGGAGTCTGCTGCAGCCGCGGCCGCAGCCGCTGTCGAAACTGTGCACCCTCGTCATGAAACTCCTATCAGTTCTGAATGGAGCTCTGGCCCTCAAGACGAGGAAGTTCGGGGATGGAGTCCGCTGGGCGGCCTCTATCAAGCCAACCCGCCTCTCTCTCGGGCTCCAGTTGGCTCCGGCACCTCTAAATGGCCCAACTGGCCTCTTGGCTCGACTTCCCCCATCTCTGTACCCTTACCTATCGGGACTACCCCCACCAGAAGTCACGTAGGCGGATCGTTATGGTCGAGCCAATCTATCTGGTCAACAAGCTCTTTGGACAGTGTCCAGAATGCCGCATTGCTGAGCTACGACCGCCTCGCTTTCGAAGGAGCTGCGGTGGATGGCTACATTCCCTCCCAGGCACTTTATCAGGCAACTGTCAAGGTACTGGGTAATAGTATACTGAGCCAAACCGATTTCTACAACGCTTGCGGTGTAGCAAATAACAATGGCCCATTCTTCTGCTTGAGAGATAGTGTCGGTATCGTCACGCACTTTCGTCGCAAATAAATACAGCCAACTTCTCGAAAAGTACATATTTATCATAGTTGAAACTTTAGCTTTCCCTATAGATTAGGCCCAACGATGGAGTCGCCCGCTGACATCATCGAAGCATTTCATCGATGAGCTTGCAATTTCTTGATGTCTTCGGCAAGTCGAGCGGCGGTAGACGGCAGGTCCGTACCACATCTGGTGGTCTTGTAACTATTCTCGCCGCTATACTGATTGTCTGGCTTCTTGTACTGGAAGTGCAGTCGTATTTCAGCGTAGGGCTCGAACCAACGTTGGTGGTGGATTCAGCGCGAGATGAGCGTATGGATATTATTGTGGATATTTCGTTCCCACACGTACCCTGTACGATTTTGAACGTGGATGCCATGGATATTGCTGGCGAGGTTCAAGCTGATGTGGATGGGCAGCTGCTCATGGCAGATTTGGGCCCTGACGGGAATTTCGCCGATAAGGCCATTTTGGACCGCCAAAAAGAGATCCGCGAAAATGCCATTGCTGCCAGACTCGCTAATCCAGACTACAAGGGCCCATGCTATGGTGCTGCACCTGACGAGGAGAACTGCCTTTCATGCTTGGACGTGCAGCGGGCATATGCGGCTAAAGGGTGGCAGTTCCACGATGGTTCTGGGTTCGACCAGTGCAAAGAGGAAGGATACCCCGAAGCCCTGGAAGCCAACAAGCAGAACGGGTGTCGGGTCTCTGGACGCGTCTCTGTATCCAAAGTTGCCGGTGTTCTCCACTTCGCTCCTGGTGAGCCAGTAATTGGAAGTGGTCGTCATTCTCACGATTTGAGCGCGTACAATTTACCGTCAATGCCCTTCAACTTTGATCATACCATCCACCAGCTATCGTTTGGTGAGGGCGGGGAGACACAGCTGGATGACCCACTTCGCGGATTCCATGGAGCCACCGACCAAAAGCAGTTTGCGTTCCACTATTTTGCCAAAGTTGTGGCGACTGAGTTCCATTTTCTTAACAACACGGTGATGAGCACGAACCAATACTCTGTCACCCGCCACGGCAGACCCATTGTTGGGGGCCCAGATGAAGACCATCCGAATTCGTACCATGCATCAGGAGGCATCCCTGGGGTTAGAGTGGATTATGAGATTTCGCCGATGAAGGTGATTAACACCGAACGACGGATGGAAACTTTCAGTGAACTGTTAATGGACGTCTGCGCTATCATTGGCGCAGTAATCACCACCGCAGCCCTCGTCGATCGCTCAGTCTATGCGATGGATCGCGTGTTACGGGAAAAGAAGAATCGCTAGGTTTTTGTGTCTTGTGCATTGTCATAAAAATAGATATTTTATTCCGCCCTTGATCAGAATTTAGATCCTTATATGTAAACTGTATTCTGTTTAAACTACAAGCATTGTCTAATTTAATTGTTCACATGAAGCACATTTGGCCCGACAGCTTGGGGGTTCCCCGCGTCTGATAGGTGGGGTGTAAAGAGGGGGACGGCGGGTCTTTGAAAAAACGGTAGTAATTCCACCGCCTCAGGCTTAGTCAGCCGCACTAATTTACGAAAAGTTAGGGTTTTTTCTGCACCATCCTCACACCTGTGTGACCACACTTCCATCACGCTATAAATTGTTAATGGCTCAGGATCCCGCAAACCGTGCGTCGCGGTCCAGCAGCCACGTGAACCTGACGTCGAATTCGAGCCAAGTTTTGGTTCCAGGACTGACCAAGGTTAATTCGAACGGCCAGCCGCGGTCGCAGTCCGTGTCCGGTCCAACCACGCCCGTCCCCAGTCAGTCATGGGTTTCCCAGAGACCCGTCAACCCTTCCCGCTCGTTGTACAACCAGTGCAAGCTGATCATGCTGGCAATGAAACAAATCCCTGAGTTGGAAGCTATTATTGAAATGTGCGCGTCGCCAACCCAGGGCGAGAATGACGTGCCGCAAATAAACATTGGTATCGCCCCGCAAAACTACGCTCTGGACCCGGTTTCTCACTTGTGGCGTATTTTGAGACTGGGCTCGCCTTTGTGCATCTTATTCAATGCTCTTTTGCGTGTGGACGAGAACGGTGAGACGGTTCAATTGGAAGTGCTCAGCCCGACCGAGAGTTGCAACATCAAATCAGCCAAGAAAATGGTTTACCACTTTTTACAGGCCTGTATCACTGTTCTTAAGCTACGTCCCGAAGAGGACCTCTTCACCATCACCAACATGTTCAGCGATTCGACCTCCGATCTGCTCAAAGTTTTGCACACCGTGGAGGTGCTACTCAAAATGCTAGTCGATGAGGCCCGCATCACTTCTATACCTACTGTGAAAGATATCGAGTTGCCTGCAGCGCAGTCCCAGCGTGACAATGTTGTTTTAGAAATCGTGAACACCGAGCGCAAATATGTCCAAGATTTGGAGCTCATGCAGCAATATAACGATGCAATGCTGGCAGGAAATATGCCTAGAGAAATGGTGCAAGCAATATTCCCCTATTTGTCGCGTATTGTCGATTTCCAAAGAAGGTTCTTAGTAGGTTTGGAGTACCACGCCCGTCTTCCAATGGATGAGCAGCAGTTCCATCTTTTGTTTAGCCTCTTGAAGCAGGAGTTCCATCTTTATGAAAGTTATACTTTGAACCAGCGTGAGGCTTCTGGTCTCGCTCTGGCGAATTCTATGCAGCTGATGGCGTTTTCCGACATTATGGAACCCAACCACGAGCTGCAAGCGATGCTAATCAAACCAGTGCAGAGGATTTGCAAATATCCTTTACTTCTGAAGCAGATTGCAAAGTCAACTCCACAAGCCGTGGCCTATTATCCGGCTTTACTAAAGAGTATGGACATTATGCATGGTATGACGCTACAAATCAACGAAGCTCAGCGCAAGTCCGAGAACGAGTTCTATTTCAATGAGCTGCGGGAACAGCTTAAAGACTGGCGTGGTCTGAATGCTGATAGTATGGGCGAGCTGCTCCTCCGTGGTCAGTATCCGGTGATTACTATGGACAGTGCCGAGAGCGAATACTACCTTTATTTATTCGAGCATGTGTTGCTCTGCTGTAAGGACAGTGCTCCCGTAAAAAAGGGCGGCCTAAGCAAAATGAGGGCTCCGAAACCGTCCAAGCGTACGAGCATGGACCTTAAGGGACGCATCTACATCACGTACGTGACTGGCGTGACAGTGACGAAAACCGACACTGGCTCGTATATTTTGAGTATCACCTGGGGAAGAGAAAATGCTCCCGAAACTGGTACTTTTGATTTTAGACTTTTCAATGAGGAGCAGGCACAGCTTTGGGAGCAGAGCATCCAGAAGCTTATTTCTGAGGTCCGTGCCCGTAGCTTGTCAGATATTACGACTGCGTATGAGGACGAAAACAACGACACCAAAATGGCTCAATTCTATGACGATATGCCGCCGCAATCACCTGTTGACAACCTTTCGTTGCGTAAACTTTCTACCTCTTCGCTCAGTTACAACCCAGACCTCAACGGACGATCGAGATCTACCTCTGAGGCCAATATCTATCGCCCAGGTACTATAGGCTCACGGATTTCTAACGGAAGCCAGACGACGTTTGTTTCTTCGCCGACGTTCGTTCACCATCACTCCGAGTCTACCATCCCGACGGTTAGCCATCCTTTCAATGGCCGGAGAGGCACTTCGACATCCTCAGGGTCAATTGAAGAAGGGTCGGCAGGCCTCAACATGGGTACAATGTCGTCACCACAGTTTGTTGAGCAGCCTGGCGAATTCAACCCTGCGCGCTATGCTTCCAGATCATCTGTGCGGTCTAACTCTTCGCGATTTGGACACCTCGAACTTCAAACCAGCAATCTGGGCAGTCCCAGTCATCATCCCGCATCTGCACACCCTTCATTGCATGACCAAAGTAAACTCTTGGTACGCCTACATTATCAGGTCGAGTCGTACTTGATTCAGGTTAATGCAGACACAACCTACGAGGTGCTACTTTCTCGTGTTGAGAGAAAACTCCATATGTGCGGAAAACAGTTTGTGAGTCCACTAAAGCTAAAGTACCAGGACGAAGACGAAGATTTTGTGACGCTGGCGTCGACTGACGATCTTCAAATGGCTACTGACTGTATGCTGGGCGACCAACTTAATATATGGGTCGTATAGATAGTCAAACATGTAAAATTGGCAAGTTTCTTAGTCTGATCCATTCGATCGAATTATATTCTCGCTTTATCCCGAACTAAATTCAACCCTGCATGGTTGATTCGATATGCGTCATACTTCAACATATGGACGGACCAATGACCCTGCATGAGGTGGCGCAAGAAGATCAGATCTTTCGCTGGATTTCGTTCACAAAACTGAGGGATAGAGCTATAAAAGTGTTTTACGTCTCCAGGGAAAAACTCTCGCAGTTTCGGGAGCGCTTTTGCTTTTTTCCCAGGCTCTTATCAGATCAATATATATATATGCACCCCGCCGCAGTTGTGACTATACGATGTCTCAACCGAATTAATATATGTACCCGTTATGTAAGGGTGACTTTATCTTCGTTCTCTTAATGAAAAGTTTGCTAGTAGCATTGTTCACTGCCGTCTCTGCCGAGACCATTCTTGGTTCGTTCGTGTTCGTTCGCCATGGCGATCGTCTGAAGAAGCCTACTACCTATCTGACTCCTTTGGGAGTGTCTGAAGAACAGGATGCTGGCACTTACTTCCATAATCGATACTTCAATACCTATCCTATAAACGGACTGGATGAGGTATACAAATCTAACCAGGTCTCGGTTATGGCTGCCGATAGTGATGTTTTGAGTAAGAGCAGCCAGGCCTTTGTCCAGGGCCTGTACCCTCCTGTTGGTTCACGTGACGCTTCGGAGGTTCCCGGTGCCTCTCTCGCTAACGGTACCACAGATGAGACGCCGTTCAATGGCTACCAGTATGTTTATGTTGAAGGCGTGAATATTGATGGCCCCGAGTACTGGACCATTGATGGTAACACGAACTGCCCCGCTTACACTAATGCCAGTGCCAAGTACTACGAGTCCGACGAGTTTAAGGCATTGAATCAAAGCACTCTTGATTTCTACCAGAGTTTGTCCAAATACACAGCCGGCTCCCTCCCCAATTCGAAGCTCAACTATGGTAATGCTTACACGGTGTTTGACTTTTTTGAGGTCAACTACTACCATAACGAAACTTTCTACAACATAATTAAGAACGATATGGCCGTTTTCAATCAAGTCAGATACTACCAGGATGAGTACTCCAAGTCTTTCAGCTACAATGCGAGCAATTCCATCGTTATGGTTGGTGGTGCCTCAATTTTGAACACTGCCGGTTCTTTCATCAAATCTATCACAAACACTTCTAGCCCTGAGCGTCTGAGTGTTATCTTTGGTTCCTATGATTCTTTCTACTCTATGTTTGGGCTTTTTGGCTGGATGAATCTTGACGAGTCCAAGTTTACTGGCCTCGTTGACTACGCTTCTGCACTCGCCATTGAGCTGATCACTGATGACTCTAATAACCAGTACGTTCGTGCTGGTATTCGTAATGGTACAAATGTCACCCAGGACTCTCCTGAGCTTGAGTTTTTCCCGGTCTTTGGCAATAATGAAACCACCGTTCCCGTCGACCAGTTCTTGAAGGGCATTAGCAACGTTGCAATCGCCAATATCTCGGATTGGTGCACCATCTGTAGTGGAACAATTGATACTTGTGCCAAGCTTACTTTGACTTCTAAGGTCGCTGATCTGGAGAAGGACAACAAGTCTTCTTCAAACCTCTCGTTGGCTGACGCCGGTGGAATTGGCGCTGGTGTCACAATTGGCGTTTTCCTTATCTTGGGTGCCCTTGGTTACATGCTCTACCGTATTCTTGGTCCCAAGCCACGCAACGAGAGACTTAAAGACATGGAATTGGCTTCTTCTAATAGTACCGTAGTCTAGTTTACATATAATAGTATTTCAGCGATCTTGAGTCATCAACCTCTCACCAGGGCTGGCATTCCGTGTGTATCGATGGAAAGCGAGGTCGAGCCGCAAGTATGGACTGACGAAAGGCTCAATTATAGACCAGTTTTATCTGGGCCCAACGTGCTGTTTATGTCGAGCATAGAGAACAAGGCAATCATCGTCAGCGAGATGATGTTGGAGGTGGATAATCAGGTTTTAAGGCTTGGTTCGTTAGTTACTGCCGCTTGTATCGCTGGTCAAAATATTGTGCTTGTTTTTGCTTCAGGCGAATTGAAAGTTTACTCTCTGGATCTGCGCGTTATAGCTAGCCGGCAGGTCGCGATCCCTGGTGAATGGACCTTGGCCTGCCCACCGTTACTAGCCGCCAATCGTAACGGATCTTATATTGCTATTGGGCTATTGGGAGGTGCTTTGGTACTTTATTCTTTTGACAAGGTGCTTAAAGCAGTCGGGACCCTTCGACTACCCCCCATGGTCAAAGCCGTGAATCTAATCACATTGCCAGTGAACAAACTGCCCATCATTTGGACGTTTTCTTCCTGTACAGAAAACAACTCCTCTTATGTCAAATTAGAGCCAAGTCCGCTATCTACAGGCGAGTTTGTTGCTATTAGGCTGCCCCTGCAAGGTGCGCCGAGCACTGCAGCGGCATTAGACTCGAAGGATGGTGAAAGTATCGCAATTTACGAAGACCAGGTTCGCTATTTTTCCATGCAAGATATAATTTCTGGACGCACAGCGCTCAAAACGTTTTCGATTGGTAAAACAACAGCGTGGAGTGTTGGCGGTGGTAAGGCTTATTTTATTGCAAAGTCTACGCTCTACTCGCTTGACGTTTTTGATGGAAAGGCCAATATGGATTTTGTTCTCACCGATACTCATGTTGTAGATCTCGGACAAATCAACAAATTCGCAGTTGTTTCGAAGCAAGGCAAATTAGTCGTCAGCTATTGTACAGACTTGGAGCGAGGCTCTTTCGTTATTGAAAACGACGAGATTAAAGATCGCAAAACACTATCTTGGTTTTACAGCGGATTCCAATTCAATGGGAAATCAAGCAAATTGATCACGACGATCAAGCAAGCACCCGGCCTAGCGGTCATTTATCAAGCTAGTTCGGCAAACATTGTTGCCGAATACAAAGAGAACTGTCCTCCTTTTTTGACTGGGCTAAACTACATTGAGGATGCCCAGCTCCTATTTGTGAGCTCTGTGAGCACTTGCTGGATGTATACCGTGAAAAACGGCCAGCTAAAACTTGCAGGCTCGTTTGATGAACCAGTGATCACCGCGGGCTTGGTTCATGGCTCCGTAATTATGATAACTGCCACAAAGGCAGTTGCATTGAGTCAATTCGCTCCGTTTAAAAGTATTGTGCAACAGGTGTATCCCATCTCCCAAGCCCATATTGGCTTTGAAATATGCACGGTGATTCTGGATTCTAATGAGGTTTTTGTCCTTAATCCTGAACTTGTAGAGGCACCTCGTAAACTCGATACGTCAGGAAGGATGGTTTATTTTGTAAAGGCTTTGGACACCAACACCATCGCAGTTGGGTTTGAGCATGAGCTGAGGTTGTACGATGCGGAACTTTTTGAGGTCAAAAAAGTCATTCAAGTTAATGATCCGGCAGTTGACTGTATTATGTCAAATGAGCTGGTCTTTGCAACAACCGATGGAAGCGTTTATATGGGAAGTTCTCGACAGCACACTTCTGGTGGCCCGGTAGCACTGCTCTCTGCTAATCAAAAGTATACACTAATAAAGACCGACCGTCTTTACAAAGTGGACCATAGTGGCGTGATTCCCATTCATTTTGGGCAGAAAGCAGTACCAGATCGCGTCAAGTCAGTGTGCAAGATCAGCGAGACCGATTTCATGGTTGGTCTTGACGACACTCTACTTAGAATCAGACTCGATGATATGCCCACCTCGGTTATTCCAAGAACACATTTTGTTCCTACTCATTATTCAGTGCGCCAATTCGCCCAGGCTCCTCATGTTCGCGCTATTTTTGTTCTATGTAATGGCCAGATCTTGGGCTACGATTCGAAATACTACGAGCCTTTGGTTTTGTGTGGCTTACCCGGAGAGTTGTCACAAGAAGAAAACCCAAGGTTGATTCACATGTGGAACATAGCTTTGTCTGGGCAAAAGTACCACCACCTTATCGTACACTCTGGCTCAGAGACAAGTGCGGTTATTCGAACTTATACGATAACCCGCCGACGACAAACAGTGACGTTTGTAGCACGCATGAAGAAGCACTTGAAGCGTCCGATACGCGAGCTCACTACTGGACCCACGAGTATACTGTTCACCGAGTCGAGGAAACCGACGTTTTTACGCGTGCTCAAAATAGAAGAAAGCGACAGTGGACTCAAGCTCGGCGATAAGATGAGCTACGAGCAAGAGTTCGTGATTAACGCAATAGCGACCAGTGGATCTACCGTCTTCTTCGCTGGCACTAATAGCTTGCTAGGGTTTCGGGAAATTGACTTTGATTGTTCTGGCCCGGTATGGGCAATTGAGTACCCTCCCGTCAAGTTTGAGCACTGCGTGGTACGAGCGACGCCAAAAGAGACCTTTCTTGTTTTATCAACTGACAAGCCAGAGCTCATTATTTTCAAGCAAATGGCCGCCCATCAGTACAAGCTCTACCAGGTGATGTGGATTCCTCATCCAGCTGCCGAGATGAGACTAAACCATGGCGGTACACTTTTGGTGCTCTTGAAAAACTCCGACATCATCGAAATCAGTGTGAGCAACAACGTTTCATCTGTTTTCACTATTTATTAAATAATTTAATCCGATTGTTCTCGCTTCAACTTCTCCAGCAACAGGCCCATGCGGGACCCTAGCTTGGGCTGGCCGCGAGAAGTCCGTTTCTGAATAGTTCCTTTCTTACGCTGCCGCTTCTGCTCCGCCTTCAGGCGTGCCTCTTCAAGCTCTTTGAGTTTATGGTAGGCTTCCTGTCGTTTTTGCTTGGCCAGTTGTTTTTTTGTTAGATGTGGTCTAGGGGTCCGGTCCCCGCGGTCGTCCTTGGGTCTTGGATACTCCCGCTCGTCTTCGCTGTCAGACCCAGTGTCTTCAGCATCTCTGCCAGATTCGGACCAAGGTTTAGGACCAGGATCACCGCCTTCTTTCTCCACCATTTTGAAATACGCTTTGCGCATCCGGGCGCGGCGGACCAAACTACGCTTGATATCCCTCGCTTTTAGTTAGTAAATCCATACACTCCAGCAACCACACCAATGGCTCGTCGCCATAGCCATGCACTACTTACATTTTCGCTCAAAGTTTCCGGCCATATAAACGAAAAAGAGATCAGATTACCTAACTCGGAAAACTAGAGCTCTCGCCATAGCAAAAAGAAATCTGGTGCAACAGGTTTAACTGTTTAGTTCTTGTTTTTTTACGCCCAAACTGGACATACAGTTTGTTGAGGATAGAAACAATACCCTCAACCGGAACTAGACCTGACCTGTTGTGCGGACAGCTTCGATTACTCCGCGGCTATGATTTTGATATTTTCAAGGGGTAGACGGGCAGTTCCATCTCGGGCAGCACTTCGCTGGGCCAATCATATCAAAAAAATAGCATGGAAAAGACTCATTGGAACCAGCCAATCGGTGGAGGTCCAAGGATCTGGCCTACTGCTTGATCTGCAACAGTCAATATCGCCGGCAGTGCCTACCAGTGAGTTGAAGGATATCTGGCAAACAGAGGTTCTTGAAAACAAGCAAATGGCGCTTTCTCATCGTTCTGCTCTGTACGATGAGATTCGGAGCCGTAAGGCTTTCGATCCTTGGCAGCTCGACGTTTTGGGACAGATTCCCTCTGAACAGACACTGCTGTCGGACTACATGTTTGCCGTCGACGTCCTCATATCGCAGCAGGAGTGGGGCATGATTCAGTCTCTGATCACTGATCTCGCAACTTCTCAGCCCGTTTACGTTGAGGTTATTTATGGTGAGCTGATTAGCCGCGCAGTCCGCATGTCCGAGGAAATGGCACCTCTCGGACCATTATTTGAGGTATTTATTGGCTGTTTTAGCTCCATGGGCTCAAATATCGGCGATTTGGACCGACTAAAGGATAGGCCCTTCATCGAGGCCCTCAAACTACTTGTCTCCACTTTTCCACAAAAAGTACTCGGTGAAACAGAAGAGTTGATCAGGGCCAACCCCCCTATAGGGTCATCTTTGGCGACCTCGATCTTGAAAATTCTTTCTACCTACAAGAATACGGATGCGAGCAAAGATATCTCTAGAAATTTGTGGGAGGCTAAGCTTCGATCGAACACTGCAACTGCCGACGATTTGTACAGTATAATGATCCGGCAAATTTATTTGGGATCAGCTGAGTATGCTCTCAATGCATACGACACCAATCCAAACCTCCAAAGACGAACCCAAGCCGATGCTCTGCTCCTTGCGACTGCAAGATCAAAAGACTGGGATCGCTTGCAAGCTGTGTTTGAAAATCTCACAGAAAACTTCCAGGACGTACTAAAGTCTCAGCATTATGCTATTATTTTGCAGGCTCTTGGACATCTCGGTGGTCGAAATTTATTGGATGGTATTTTTGAACGATACACAGAACGGGAACTCAAGCCTACTCGAGGAGTATACCATGCTATGATTCATAGCTATCGCCTCATGGGTGACGTCAAAATGGCAAGACACTACTTTGATCTGATGCTGGAAGCACAGGTCGAACCAACGCGCATTACGTTCCAGCTTTTATTGTTAGCCTACAAGGATGCAAATGACCTACCGAACGCCTTGGATTTAGTCCATTTCGCCAGCTCCGAATACCAACTACCGGTAACTAATAAGGAAGTCACTTCGTTGCTTAGTATCTGTGCTAACCGACGCGATTTAGAGTCCACAGAAAAGATTTACAGCTGGGCTGTTTCTTTACTCGGCGACAAGGTCGACAGGATTACTCGAAATGCATATATGTCTGCTTTGGTTGAGTGCAATCAGTTTGAAAAAGCGATGGACTTTTTTTCTTCGTTTGAGAATCCTGGCTTAGACACTCTGACTATTTTACTGTCGTTTGCCTCTAGATGGAGGCTGGGTGACCAGTTTCGATTTCTTTTGTTGGAAAGAGAAAGACTGGAACTTCGGGCTGATTCAAAGTGGTATGGCACGGTAATGACGTACTACTCATTATCACGAGATACTGCTCGACTATTTGAGGTGTTTGATGAAATGAAGGCTGCAGGTATTCGACCCACTGCTGGTCATTACAGTATCATCCTAGATCATCTGACAAAGATGAAGGACTTCAAAATGGGTGAGACAATTGTACAGGAAGTAACTGATCAGCAGGTCACGCCAACATTTACGTTTTACGAACAGTGGTTCAGAATGATGACGCTCTCTACTGAGCCGTCATCTCGCAACCGGGCCTATCGCATGTTGTCCAAGATTCTTGATATGGGTGTTTTTGACGTCAGTTCAACTACGGTTCCTCGTGATGCTGCACCACCGGGTGTGTTCAAGGCTGTTGTACGCAAATTATTGAAGGACAATCGGTTTGACCGGGCTTATACTCTTTTGGCGCGTGCAAGCAAACAATCGCGTAATTCAGAGCCGTGGAAAATCGCTGCACTATTTATGGAGTTTTATGACGCTTCCGGACGGTATGAGGCCCTTGGTGCTGCTTGGGCTCGATTTTTGTCCGCCCTAAGGCCGACTTTTGTGCCAGTGACTTCAGCCGAAGGACAAGTTGTCTATCATCTCCCGAAACGGTATAGGTCCAACTACTGGCGGCAAATCAATATTCGTATCACAGACCTAGCCCGTCAAAGCAAGCTTGATATGCTTTTGAGTCTCGAAAGAGACTTGAGTACAGTAGGCATCTGCATGTCATCCCAAAACCTGAATCACTGCTCACAAACCATGTTGACGGCAGCTAACAGTATTTTAGAGAGTGAGCCAGAAAAGGCGCTAGCTCTCCAGACCAAGGCTTTTGACATTGCAGAGTCACGACTGGTTCCTGGCTATTTCCGCAATATGCAACGACGACAGCTAAAGAGTGCCGGAAAGCTCCCCAAAAATCTGGACCACGGAAATCTTCAATTATCACGCAAGTCGATTGCTATTCTTGCCAGCAATATATCAGGCTTCACGCGTAATTTGGCCTATGCTAAAAAACTGGACGAGGAGGAGGCACAGGAATTGGTGTCACAGCAGTTCCCTGCTCTTCTCGGTATTTTGAGGCGGGCGACCGATGCGCGAGAACGACGATCGCAAGCAGAACAGCAGCGGAACAATTAATTTAAAAGAACAACTGGGATTTTAGAATTTGTACATAAACATGAGTCTCTTTGTAACATTGTTTTCTAGTTTGAAATATAATATTTTACTACTGAAAAAAACTCTATGCCTCTTTATCTGCATTCTTTTCTCTGGGCATAATAAACCAAGGCTTGGAGCTTTCACTGTCGTGGGCCACGGTCTCGCCGTAAACCAAGAATCCAACTTTAGGCTGCAAATTCCAATGGAGATGCACAGTGGCATTGCGACCTTCGAAGCTCTCTTTTACGTCCCAAATCGAATACTTGCTGCGCTCATTTTGCAAAGCCAGCTTAGCATCGGCCTTCGAGGTGATGATTTTGTCCCAGAATGTGACTTCGTTGCTGATGTCCTCCCGAGCACCACCGTACTCGGCAGTAAGGTAAACAAAGACTTGCTTTGTGTTCCAATTAAATAAAGGAGAAAGATCTGCATCTAAATCGAAAACAATGCGCACGTTTTCCTTAGGTTTGCCCGTTGAACCAAACCTTCTACTAGTTCTCATGCTCAAGGTCGGCCGGATTCCACCAACCTCGCTTTGGAGACCAAATGCACCGCTAACATAAAGCTGTGCTAGTGATACAATTGCCACAACAACAGAGGCAATAATCACATACGTCGAAAACGTGCTGGATCGCTGCTGAACACGACTGACGAACGAGTGCATGTTAGGTGTCCTATGACTAAGGGGGGGAGCAGTGGTGAAATAGTAAGTAGGCTAGACGTTTATACTTGCTGGCCGCATCCTGCGGGGCATTCGTCCATTTCTTCTGCCCATTGAGACCAGCATGTTGGGTGGGACTTGTGGCCACATCTCAGCAGAACCGTACACAGGCCCTTGACCGGCTGGTTGCAAATGCTGCAGCCGTCCAGCAGCTGTTTGCAGTGCATGCAATACCAAAACCCGACGTCTTTCTGATTCATATTGCCGCTAAGATACGAAGCATTCTCCCCCAGGGAGCGCTGACAACGGTGGCACACTAAATCGACTGTCGTGTCCGGCTGGCCGGCATTGTCTTGCCAAACAGAAGTAACACTCATGATGTGTGCAGCGGGAACAAACGAGGATATAGCCCGCATCTGCTCAATGCAAGCAAATACAGACTCTTCCATCTGATTCCTGGGCACGATATTAGGTAGGTGCGAGAACAAAAGATACATAGCGACCGAAGTGCATGAAAGACCCTCATCAAAGCAATGCAAAATAACCCGCCGAAGGGTAGGCAATAGATCCCACATGTTGTTCATTTGAGAGATGTGGCTGATAAATTGCTGTCTTAGCGAAGTCATACTCTCGCTGTAGCCACGAGGCCACATTGGTCGACGAGAAGAGCTGAGCCTCTGAATATGGTGCATACCTGGTGTCGAAGTCCCCGAGGTGTTCGACACTGCAACTGCTTGCACTGTTTCATATTGTCCAAAGTATGAGGAAGGCTTAATACCAAGCCTAAGTTTCTGAGCCTCAGTAAGGAGTTGATAACTCCCGCTTGGGCCATCAAGCATCTCGGAAGAATCACGGGTAGACGTCGACAGTGTCCGCTCGCCCTGCATCTGTGACTGACGATTTGTAGCATGGACTGCTGCAGTAAGTTTGCTAGCCACAGCACCGTTAAAAGAGCTTGTCTCGCTATTCGCAGAAACTTCACTATTGAAGCTGACTCCTGAACCGTGCCAATCAGCAAAACTCTCACCGGTGACAGCCGTTTGGCTACCAGTAACTGTAGGCGGCCCGCTGCTAGCATCTCCAACTACAACTGACTCTGCATGATCAGCTGTATCGTCTTGTAACAAGAACATTCTGCGTGCCGCTTCTTGTTGTTGCGGTGGCAGTGTTCGCAAAAAGCTTTCTTCGGCAAAATCAACTGTGTTTCCTATTATCCTCCAAAACTGCGCAGTCCTGAATCGACGGGTGTTGTGTGAGATATGTGCATTGTGTCTACAAATCTCACCGAGTCGCTCACCAATTTCTTGGTTGTAAATATAATTCTCGGCGTAGTATTTGAAAACGCACTCCATTTCAGCCGGATAAGGTAAAGTAATAACCGTAGTTGGTATAGTGGCTCTCGATCTGTCCGGATGCTCATCACGGGGAGAAGCGACTCCAGGATGAATTTTATCCCACGATTTTGATTTTACGAGTTCATTAGTTCCAGGCATCAACATGTTATGAGTGGGCACCGAGCTCTGAGGATGCATACCCGCATTAGTGGACTGACCAGGAACATTGACAGCATTGCTGCGAATAAATGAAACAGACTGGTGCCTTTGGAGATGGTTTGGAGTAGGCGGATTCGAGATTGTTTGTGGACTGGGTGCTTTTTTGCCAGAAAAAGAAAACGCGACACAATCATCAGCAGCCCACGCAAACACTGCAGGGGGCCAATTGTCAGATACTCGTGGCTCGTTTTGAACATCGATCTGCAGAAGCTGTTTATCTCTGGAAGAACTCCAGATTTTTCGAGCTGAAATAGCCACCAAATCAGTGATGGCACTTTGATGACCTTCGCACCAATACGTGGGTGTCCAAGGATGCTTCAAATCCCAGTAGGACACACCGAAATCCGTAGGAGACCGCCCGCAAGAAATCACTGCTGAGTTAGCTACTGTTTGCTCGCCTGGCATCCATCTTACTCGGGCAACCGCCGACATTGTTTGAATGGTATATTCTGGTGTGCGCGACTCGGTTGCAAGGTTCCAGACATGAATGGACTTGTCCCGGCCACCTGTTACCAAATAGTTTGAAATTGGATGCCAATTGAGCGACAATCCTTGGTAATGGGCGTTTATTCTTAAATCCGCAGCTGCGGGGTTTCGCACATCCCAGCGCTGGACCATGCCTGAATCGTAGATGACGCCGAACTTTGTTTCGCTGTCGGGCCTTAATTGAGCTTCACGAGCAATATCTCCATCGCGTAGAAAGCTGGAGATTGCTCCTTTTTTGAGGCTGTGACGGAGGTCGTACAGCTTGACGGTGCCATCGCTAGTCGCAGCTAAGAGCAGCGAATTCGGAGAAAAACACAGAGACGTCACGCCACAGTGTAGATTGATGGCCTGGCCAGGGGCCTGAAGAAGATTGCCGCTATTACCAAGAGTTTGGATGGACATAGAGCCGCCCGAATCTGCCAAAGCGATCTGATTGTTGGGACCCCATTGCACGGTGCTTGGGTTGAAGCGAGGCTTTATTTTCATCGCATGGGTAATAGAATTGTTCGAGGTAGACATCAGAACCACCTCTAGCGATTCCTTGGTCAACAAAGCAGCACTTTTGTGGTCTGGGGATGCCGCCATAGCAATAATGGGTGCCCGGGCAGAAAACGAGACGGTTCCGAAACGCTCTGGATCCTCTTCTGTTTTTTGTTGTGGGCGGGTGTAGTAAAGCGCTTTGCCTAAGCGTGAAAGAGATACTTGCGACGCATCGAAAGACAGTAGCCTTCGAGGACGTCTTGCCTCGTCTTCCATCACGTAAACTGGGGCACTGGCGAGCGGGAAAGAAAAAAGATATATATAATATAAAGAGATTAGGCGGACCTAGACGATATCTACGGGAAGTCCGGCAATTGCAGAGTATCGAAGCATGTAAAGACCGCCGTGTTCTAATAGAACGGTGTCGTTACCGCACACAACCGGGTCCAGCCCAGGCTTGGTTACTTTTATAGCCACCGGTTTATCTAGATCGGGTTCATCCACCATGGAAACGGCGCCGTCTGTGTCGTTGAGATTCTGTAAGTCGGAGTGCAACGACAGCAAAAACGAGCTGTCGTACAACTTTTCTTTGATTATAAGCCGTCTCTGCAGGTACTCCTGCTCCTTGGGAGATAGAGGCGTATCAAGCGGCGTCTGGGTACTCCAATAAATAGCGCTTTGGTCAATTTTAGCTAGCCGTGCCCTCAGGTATCCTCTGGCAACAAACTTGGCCCTCTCCAGCTCTGTCTCAACCACTAGCAGCTGCAGTTTGATGTTTTCACCGTCTTGCCCGCTTGATGTGATATCACCTTCGTGCAACAGCAAGGATTTCTCTTCAACAAACTCTATTAGTCCCCGAATCTGGCTCATTACTGTCTCCAAAGTGTCGCCAGCATACGGGAGAACGGTTGGTGCCATGCGTTCGGCCACCCATGCCTTTTTCAGTTCAATAACCGCCCGATTGGCAGCCTGCTCTGATGCATCAGGCTTCTTGCCCAGCCCTGCAATAATGCTGTCAATCGGGTCTCTGATTCGCGACATATTTCAAAGTGGCAGCCCGGTTGGATTCCTGCTGACAATGGACGCGCGGGCAGAGATCGAAGCCAAACGCGAGCGTCTTGCGAAACTTCGAGAACAACGCCAAAGGTTGGCAGCGTCCAAGTCGGTTTCGCCGTCGCCGGAAATAGTCGATGTACCAACCAGAGCTGTGGAAACGCCCGTTTTGGTGTCTCCAGCGCCCAAACCCGAGCTTCAAACCGTGGTCTCGCGGATTTTCTGCACTGAACCGGTTATTTACTACACGAAAAAGATCCAAACAGAAGACCCGGTTGTTGAGGAGCCTGAAATTGAGCAGTTTGAACAGATTGTGGTTGAAGAAAAGCCACTGGAATTGCAGGCACCCCAGCCAGAACAGAAACGGTTTACGATGGAAAGTGACAAAGAAAAGTCGTTTGCCGCTGCCAAGTTTCTGGATAGAGCCTGGAGAATCGTAGCACGAGCCAAGGATTCCGACAATCCCAATAGAACCATCTTCGATCACGCCCCATCCGCCGCTGAATCGCCGTTTCGCCCGGGCCCCGTGTTTACTGGCCCTCAAGCAACTGTATCATCGCTCGAGTGGGCGCCCAAGCAGCCCGACGTGTTTGCTGTTTCATTCCGTCAAATTAATGAGGGTATTTCTGGCCAAAGTTTCGTTTGTGTTTGGAACCTGCGCGCTCCGTCTGAACCAGAGTACACACTATTGTCCAACACGGACGTTTTAGTTGTGAAATTTGCCCCATCCCAGCAATATATTTATGGCGCCGGATTCAATGGCCGCATTCTTGCATGGGATCTTCGGCAAGGCCATTTCAAACTGCTGCCGTTTCTGAAATCAACCGAGGATGGTCATGTCTTTCCGGTGAAAGCGTTGACAGTAACGGGCACAAGTTTGCTAAGCTGCGCAGAAGATGGCACATTCTGTTCGTGGGCTCCAGATCTGTTGACCAAGCCTCAGTACAAAATCACACTGACGAGCTCGTCCAGTATTCTTGACGGGCTTGGACCTAGTGCCCCCACGGCTTTGGCGGTCCATCCGCACGATAATACACAATATGTGCTTGGAACTTTGGACGGATCGCTGTATCGTGGTTTTTCAGTCGAGACCGTAACCACTCCTGCTGGAATCAAAGGCGAGGCGTTTGGCCAAGATGGCGAACGTCATAGTGCGGGAATCACAGCTTTGAGCTTTAGACAAAGCAATCAAACGACGAATACAATGGCCTTTATGCTTTCAGCTGGACTGGACTGGGTCATTAAATTATGGAGTGTGCCTTTGGAAGGCACGGCAAAATGCGTTGCAACAATCTATATGGACGACATCACATCTGACATTGCATGGGCACCAAACCACCCTTCCATATTTGCCAGTGCATGCCAGGATGTAGTGCAGATCTGGGATTTGAACAAGAGCCGTGACACAGCAGTCTGTAGCCACAAGTTCCCATGGCCGGTGTCACGTATTGCATGGAACCTTAATCGGAAACTCGCAGTTGGAGGTGTGGACGGGACTATACAGGTTTGTGAGGTCGCTGATGATGTATTCGAACACGACGACATGAGCTGGTCGAAATTTAATGACAAATTTAAATAATTATTTCTGCTGTATACGAATATCGGAGAATGCAGATCTTTGATGGAGTTTGACTTGGCCCTTTGCTGCCATTGACAGCATCTCTGCGAACGCCGCTGCCTTTTGCACCCGGCTCGAGCCTATTGATTGGAAGATGGCTGGTCCCTTTTCAAGAGCAGTCTCAAGAGCATCTCTAGCTTTTCTCGCCTCGACTTCCATGGCGCCTGCATCTTCAAGTGGCGGTAGTGGAGCCACTGCACTAGGGGAGACGGGAACGTCTTCCTCTTCTTCCATAGCATCACTATTATCGAAATCAGCAGTCTGGTCCAGCTCGGGGATATCGAAATCTTCATCGGCATCGTCGGATCCTAAAAGACGGCGACGTTTGATCTCGGTGCGAATATAGTCTGGATCAAGCAGTTTGTCGATAACTGAAAACACTGGAGATGTCAATGTCGGCGGGTTGGTAAGAATCTTGTCCGCCGGACGACACGGTAAAGCAGCGGTTGTTTCTGCATCTAGAGGAGCTAGCTTCTTGACGGCTGGCCGCTTTTTCGCCCGGGTCTTTGGCTGGGGGATTTCCGGGTCACTATCAACAATCATAATGTCCTGCATTTGCTCGTCACCCAAGGGAGTCGAGACCTCCGGGGGAGGAGACGAGTCGCCCAACGAAACGTCCATGTCGAAATCACCTAGATCTGACAAAACGTTTTCGGTGAGGTCGAGACGACTCAATATTTGCTCGTCTGTTTCGGACTGCCGAAGAATGCTCTCGTCAAGCTCGTTGTCACCTTCACCACGACGAGTTACCAGATCAACCGACTGGTCGACATCGATTCCCAGCTCGCTGCTTCCAATCTCACTGCTGGCGACCTGCGAGTGCGTCAGGGTGTCCGTCGTGTTTATTTTGGCAAGTACCTGGTCAAGATTGAGGTCCTGGGGTAGCAAGTCCACGATCTGGGACGGCTGAGAAGCAAGAGTAAGTTCCGAGCTGTCTGGTCTTGTGACCAGGTCAATCTCATTCTGGCTGAACAGCTTGATCAGGCCCCGGTTTGTTTCGTTCGAGTCTTCCAGCAAAATGTGTCCTTTCCGGTTCACGACGGTGGCCAGCCCGTAAAGCAGCTGGCTTTCGACCCGTAGAGACACTCCTCCGACCTTTTTCCGCAGCAGCTGTCGTGTGTTTTCCTCAACATCAACCCTTTGCAGCTCCTGACGCGTCAGTTTCTTGTCTGTCGTCGACACCAGCCACACGGGCTCTAAATCTCGCGGCAGATTCATCGATGGTGGATTACGCGACGCGCACGCCGTCGGATAATTAGCTAAAGGTGCTGGACGCACGCGAGGGGTGTTGGGACAATTGCCTATGCAGCTTGACCATTAACCCCGCAGCAACGGTGCAATTTGCCCGCAGCTCTTAATATGGACAGCAAAGATAACGATATTCACACAGTAAACCCGCGGGAGCTCGTCGGACCCTGGGATTTTAAAGAGAGGCAGTATCTGCCCGCTTTGACATGGTCGCAAAAGCTGAACTTTGTCCGCGTAATGGGCTCTGTGCCCTTCCGGGTTGTATGGTGGACCATCAAGTACTTTATGCCCGGAGGGTACCGCCCCGTGAGGTACAAACGGCGGATTATGAACCTGGTCATGGCCTACACCCTGAACGCGCTGTCTCTCCCGGAGTTACGCTTGATTCTGCCCGTGGTACCCCTGCGCAGGTTCTTGGAGAGTCGGGCCCTCCGGGCCTTCGCTGGTCTGCCCAATTTCAACCACTACTTCCACGCGGATGACACTAGTGCCCGGTGGATCACTGAGGTTAACGGACGCCGCAAGGAGGATCCAGTGATTTTGTACCTGCACGGCGGTGGGTTCTTCTTGAAGACAATGCCCGAGCAAATCACTTGGATGTGCAAGCTTGTGGAAGCGCTGCCCCAGCACAGACTGTCTGTACTTGAATTGGACTACACAGTGAGTCCCCAGGGCCAGTACCCCGTCCAATTGAACGAGGCCCTTAGTGTGTACAAAGAGCTCACCAAGACCTGTTCCAAAATTATCATTCTCGGCGACTCGGCAGGTGGCAACTTGGCTTCCAGTCTCACGGCCCACATGGTCAAGAACAATTCGCCGCTTCCGCGCCCCTGGAGTGTCGTCTTAGTTTCTGCGTGGACTGAGTTCGACAGGGTGGATGGCTCAGCTATCACCAACAAAGACTACGATTACTTGAACCTGGACAATAACGACACCCTCACCATGTACTACGCAGGTACCAGAGACAACCTCAAGAACCCCTATGTTAACATGTGGGTTGGTGGTAGCGAGTTCTGGCAGGGCGTTTTCCCTGAGCGGACCATAGCGGTGTGGGGCGATAAGGAGCTCTTTAGAGACGGATGCCGCCGGTTCGCCAAGATGGCCGATATCAAGCACACCTTCGAGGAGCCCAACGGCGTTCATGACGTGTTGATGGTTGGCTTCAGAGCACCGTCCAGCAAGTTCATTACTCAAACCCTTGATAAGTGGCTCTCGGAGCCTGATCGGGTAGCGCCAAAGGCCACTTCGTCCTCTGTTTCTTCTTCTAGATTGTAGACAGTTTTTAGATATTCGTTTCTTCTTCTACAGATTCGCGCCGTTTTGAATAATAGAGTATCCCTGCTCAAGGCAGTCGATGGTTTCGCGCACCAACCGGTCGACGAGCTCCTGGCATGAGGGGATATCGTGAATGAGGCCCTGAGACTGGCCAACGGACCAGATACCAAGATCAACGTCGCCGGTCTCATAAACCTGCTTGCCCTTGGCACCGGCCATCAGATCGCGAATCATGCCGAATTCGAAATTTTTGCCAGAGTCAAGCTCGGCAGCATGGACCTTCTTGGCAACCGCGTTGTTGTAGCAGCGAACAGCATTGTTCAGAGGCTTCAGAAGAAGAGCTGTGTCGGTCTCCTTAGCGGCAACAATGGTCTTTTTGACGTTCTCGTGAACAGGGGCCTCCTTGGTGCACATCCAGCGAGTACCCATATTGACGGCCTGAGCACCCATTGCAAAGGCAGCAGCCGCAGTGCGGCCGTCGGCAAAGCCGCCGCTAGCCAAAATGGGGATGGAGATCTCCTGCCGACAACGGCCAAGCAGAATCAGGGTGGTGATGTCCTCCTCGCCCGGGTGACCAGCGCACTCGAAACCGTCGATGGTAATGGCAGAAACACCGGCCTTTTCAGCCTTGAGTGCATGCTTCAGATTGACACACTTGTGGATAATAATAGCGTTTTTGACCGACTTGAGAACAGGCATAACCGGCTTGGGGTTTCCGGCAGTCTCGAAAATCCAAATCCCCTCGTCTACAGCGACTTGCGCGAACGAAACATAGTCAGGGGGGTTGATAGCGGGCAAAAGAGTGAAGTTAACTCCAAAGACGTTGTTGCCGGAAAGCTCTTTGCACTTGCGGATCTCGGCCCGCAGAGCCTCGGGAGTTGGCTGAGTGAATGCAGTCAGGAACCCCAGAGCACCGGCATTTGCGACAGCAGAGACCATAACAGCGGTGCCTACGTTTTGCATACCGCCCTGCATGAAGGGGACTTTCACGCCGGTCGTGCGCGTCAGCCAAGTATTCAGAGATTTAGCCATTTTTTTGAGGTTTGGCGGGAAAGAGGCGGTGAGCTCGCTATTTATGCAGTAGCCTGAGGTAAGCATCAGCATGTGGGGAATGCGGGGAGCAGCGGACCAGGGTGGTCTGCAAAGTCCAGCTAGGGCCGAGCTCACGGCGATGTAGAAGAGCGCTATCTGATTGAATCAGGCGATTGATTTGTTGCCGAACACTTCAGCGGTGCTCGCGGGCCGTCGGCTACTTTTCACCCTGATCTAACCAACCTCGGCTCGACGCTTACACAGAGAGAGATCATAAGATTTATACGTACAGTAGAAAATTTAGCTATTGAGATGCGCTCTTTTGTCGCGAATGGCCTCACTTGAGACCACTGTGTTTGTGCAATGAGGGTCTCTGTCCAACGATTGGCCTTTGACGACTTTGACAATGTCTTCTTTGTCCAATGTTTCGAACTCGATCAGGCCGTGGGCCAGTCGCTCCAGTTCGACGCTTTTTTCTGAAAGCATAGAACGGGTGCGGTTTTCGGACTCAACCAATAGCGAGCGGATCTCGTCTTCAGCCATGTGGCGGGTCGACGCTGACCACTCCGACCACTCTTCGCCCAGAGAGATGGGGCCAATCTTCTCGGACATGCCGTACAGAGTGACCATAGCCCTGGCGACTGATGTCGCATTCTTGAGATCCGAAGAGCAGCCTGAAGTGACGTTCTCGGGACCATTGATCATCTCTTCGGCGATACGGCCGCCCATGCAAACGTCCAGTCGAGCCTTGAGCTCGGTCAGGGTCTGGTCGTACTTGTCCAGCTCGGGCAGCTGGAACGTGATGCCCAGCGCCCGTCCTCTGGGCAAGATGGTGGCCTTGTAGAGTGGAGTGGCGCCAGGGGTATAAAGTGCCATAATAGCATGGCCCGCCTCGTGGAAGGCTGTGTTCTTGCGAGTCTCCTCGGTCATAACCATAGTGCGGCGCTCACCACCCAGAAGAATCTTGTCTTTGGCCCATTCGAAATGGTTCATATTGACTGTCAAGGCCTTTTCTTTGGAGGCATGCAGAGCTGCTTGGTTTACGAGGTTCATCAAATCGGCACCCGAGAATCCTGGAGTGCCTCTGGCCAGATTCATCACGTTTACATTGTTTGAAATCTCAACATTCTTCATGTGGTGGTTGAGGATAGCAGCACGGCCACGAACATCAGGAAGCTCGACATTGACAATCTTGTCAAACCGTCCCGGACGAGTCAACGCCTTGTCAAGCAATTCAGGGAAATTGGTGGCCGCCAAGAAAATGACTCCACTTGTTTGGTTGAACCCATCGAGATCAACCAGCAGCTGGTTTAACGTCTGCTTGGAGTACGCCTGGTCCTTGGGATTACGCTTTCCTCCAATGGCATCGAGCTCATCGATAAACACAATGGCCGGAGCGGCTTTGCGGGCAGCACCAAACAATGCACGAATACGTTTGGCACCAATACCCACATAAAGCTCATCGAACTCAGATCCAGACATAAAAAAGAACGGCACGCCAGCCTCACCGGCGACGGCTCGCGCCAACAGCGTTTTACCTGTTCCTGGGGGGCCGGTCAACAGCACACCCTTGGGTAGCTTGCCACCGAGGCCGGTGAACTTTGAAGGGTCCTTGAGGAACTCGACAATTTCTTCAAGCTCCTCACGAGCCTCATCGACACCCTGGACATCACTGAAACGCACTTTTGACTTTTCGCCCCGCACATTATCGAGTTTGGCAGCACCCAAATCTTGGCCGGCAGCACCCTTGATTATGCTCGAAGATTCCGTCAAAAAGGAGAAACCGAGGTTGATCGCATACAGAGCTAGACCCATGGGCAACAACCATTTAATCCACTTCAGCAGCATGGCCATTGGTTTCTCAGAAACCACGACATGCACAGGATCAAGCGTCGTACCTCTTTGGCTAGTGCCTTCGACATTGAACGGGTTTGCTCCAACTTGACCAGCTGTTGATGCAGTCCTCGCAAACCGCTGCTCGGCCTCTGCTGCTTTCGTGGTGTGGCCGAGGTTTCGCAATGCTTGAACGTAGAGCCCGTCGCACTCGGGATTACGGGCGACCCCGGGTGACTCGTACCGAGATACTACAAGTTGCGGGTAACTTGCCGCCAAAAGTGTGCGATAAAAACTTGCCTGGGCCTCAGCGTCGCTTAATGATCTGTTGGCCGCTTGCTCCTTACTGGCCAACTGCTGGCTCGAGGTGGCCACTCCACCGGCCGGTGGTGTCTGGCTCGTCGGGGTAGGGCCCCAAAATAGCGACCGGGCTGGCTGATGAAACACGTTCTGTCGAGCCAAACGGCTCATCAAAAGCCGCCCAGCATTCGTCCGCATCACGTTTGAACGCAACATCGTTTAATTCCACTAAATGCCCGACTGTGGCGTTCCTGGGTGTGTGTGTTCTCGAACGTAAAGGATAAGCAGACTGGGATGGAAGATATTACTCAAATCGTGATGGGGGGAGGGTGCTGGGGTATGGGGTATACGGAGGGTAGCTATGGAAAAAAAGGCTTTGGGAATAGCTGCTGCGGTAGCTGCTGATTTTCGGGGGCGCTGGCAGTTGATGCGGTACTATAAGTGCTTTGGGCTCCTAGAAAACAGGCGCTATGTCCGGGCCGGGTAACGGATTTGTCAACTCTGCCTTGTGCCTTTCACCGAAAAATGAATGTGACCGAGGTGAGGACGACAATGAAGGAGCTGGACAATGCACCGAGCGTTGACCGGCTCCTAGAAATCTTGGAGTCGCTCAATAGTGATTTCAAGCCCACCGAGTCGCTGCTCCGCGAGACAAAGCTGGGTGTGGCCGTGAATAAATTGCGCACGCACACTGATTCCAGAGTGGCCACGCTTGTAAAGACAATGATTTCGCGCTGGAAGGACCAAGTGTCTGCGCAGAAGCAAGCACAGGCGCGTCTCAAGGCGAAAAGTGCCAGTAAACCGGCCAGCGAGACCGCGGCCAAGCCCGAAGCTAAAGCCGACTCCCGAGCAAGCTTCAAGGCCGACAAACCACGCAATGCCAAAAACGACGGCATCTCCACAAACATTTATCCTGACAAAGTACGCAATAGCTGCGTCGATGTGATCTATACTGCATTGGCGGTTGATTCGACCGAGCAACCCCAGGTCATTCTCGAGGCGGCCAAGCGGGTAGAGGGCGCTGTGTATGCCCACGAAAAGAGCGCGACTCCAACCTACCGCACCAAAATGCGATCGCTGTTCATGAATCTCAAAGACCCCAAGAACCCTGGTCTCAGAACCCGCGTGGTGTCCGGAGACATCAGCGCTGAGAGACTGCGCACGATGACGCCGCAAGAAATGGCGCCCGAAGAACTGAAAAAAGAAATCGAGCAAATCGAAAAACAAAACCTGTTCAAGGCACAAGGAGCCAAAGAACAACGAGCAGTCACCGACCGATTCACCTGTGGAAAATGTAAACAAAAGAAGGTCTCCTACTACCAGATGCAGACCCGTAGTGCAGACGAGCCGCTAACGACATTTTGCACCTGCGAAAACTGCGGAAATCGCTGGAAATTCAGTTAATGTCCATAATACCAATAATCGCCTAAACCCGCCTGCTTGGTCATCCGATCCCTTGCCATCGCGACTATGTCGGGACACAAGCTCAAATGCGGCCTGGAGGTCCACGCACAACTGCTCACGAAGCAGAAGTTGTTTTCGTCGACGAGTACGAGTTTCCATGCGCCACCCAATACCCGAGTGTCGTACTACGACGCTGCGCTGCCGGGCACGCAGCCGAGGTTCAACTACGATTGTTTGAGGCTTGCCCTCACTGCGGCAGCCGCGCTCAACTGCGACGTCAAACGCTCGTTCAGTTTCGACCGCAAGCATTACATGTACCCTGATCAACCCGCGGGGTATCAAATAACCCAGCATTTCGAGCCGTTTGCCATGGGAGGGTTTCTTGATGTGATGGCCCGCGACTACTCGAAACCGCGGGGCCACCCCACCACGCGAGTTAACATTAAGCAAATTCAAATTGAGCAGGATACCGCCAAGACAATCTACGTTGATAACGTGTCCCAGGTGGACCTCAATCGCACAAACACTGGTCTTATTGAGCTGGTAACTGAGCCTGATCTGCCTACGGCGGAGTCTGCTGGTGTGTTTGTGAAAAAACTTCAGACTTTGTTGAGACATCTGGGGGTGTGCAATGGTGAAATGGAAACAGGAGCTATGCGTGTCGATGTCAACGTTAGCGTCGATGATGGAGAGCGTTGTGAGATCAAGAACCTGTTCAGCACCAGTGCGGTGGTGGCAGCTATCAAGGCTGAGTTCAACCGTCAAATCAGAGACATTGAAAGCGGCAAAGTGATCTCAAGCGAAACTCGAGGATGGGATGGTAAAGAGACTTGGAAACTTCGTGGCAAAGAGGGATCAATAGACTACCGCTACATGCCCGATCCCGAACTTCCAGTCGTGAGACTCCCAGATTCTATAGTCGAAAAGATTCGCAGGTCAATGCCGGCTCTACCTGATCAAGTTCTCGACGAACTTGTGGCTGCGCCTTATAACGTTCCTTTGGTTGATGCCAAAACGTTAATGGATCATGGGATGCGATACGTCAATTTCTACCGCGACTCACATGCCTTATTTACCAAATCTGGCGGTAAGAAGACCAGTATAGTGTCAAATTGGCTCGTTCACCGCTGGCTCGGCCAAACTGAAACGCAGGTGTTCCCTTCTGTTCAAGTATTCACGGACCTTTTGATAGCCATGGACAAGGGCGAGATCACATCGACTTCAGCCAAACTTATCTTGAAGCATTTGGTTGGATTAGCAGAGTCCAATGAGCTCACTCCAGACGTTACAATCAAGAGCATTATTGATGAGTTTGATCTGGGGACTGCCGAAGCTGACGACCAGTTGGATGCTGTGTGTGCTGGCGTTATTGAAGAGAACCCTGACGCTGCCAACCGCTATCGCTCTGGTAAGAGGAACGCCGTTTCTTTCCTTTTAGGTGCTACAATGAAGGCCACACAAGGCACTTATAGTCCGGCTCAAGTTAAATCCGCTTTGGAACGACTTTTAAAGAATTAATGTACATAGCCGCATATGCTTCCCAATATATATTATTATTTTTGGTAGTGATTAAGGGCCCAGAGTCTGCAATGACCACTCTCGTTACCCGCGCTCAGCATCTGCCCACCGGGGGCGAAGGCCAGCGAGGTAACTCTTCCAAGAGGCGTGCTTGAGGTCGGCCAGTTCTTGAACACTGTGAAAGAGGGCACGTGCACCAGTCTCAGTGCATCGCGTTTCGCCCTTGATGCAATCACCAAGATTTGTCCGTCGGGACTGAATTTCATGGACGAAATGGTTGTGACCAAATTGTCAATTACAAAATGTGGCTCATAGCTCTCAGGTTCATCCTCTGACATCTTCATACCACGTTTCGGGTTTGAAAGATCATAAACGTTTATCATACCATTAGATGCTCCAACCGCACACCACCGGCCCGATCTTGCGATCCGAGTGACACCAACGGCACCAACATCCTTCCACCGCTTGATAAATTGTCTGCTCTCTACGCTCCACTCATAGATATCGCCATGGGTACTTGCAATTGTAACAATGCCATCGGCCCCCCAGAATATGTCGGCAATGACGCCGTCGATCTTTGCACCGGCAACCCACTGACCATTATCAGCACCCAAAACGTTCATCCAGCCGCCACTTCCAATCAGGCCAACATATTGACCACATGGTGAAAGGACAAAATTTTCCATACTCTGCTGAGTTTGGCCGTGGCCGTACATTCTTGTGATTTTCTCAACTCCTCCCGTCTCCAAGTTCCAGATATATAAATAACGACGGCGACCACCCGCAAACACTCTCTTCCCATCGAGATGGAACAATGCCGTTTGGAAGGGCGAGTCCCTGATATGGAGACTGGTAGCAACCGGGTTTACTTTACCATCAATGTGATAGATTCGGAGAGTGCGATCGTAGCCACCTGAAAGGACCAGAGGGTGGGTAGGGTGGAAATCAAGAGTTTGAATGGCTGATTTCGATGGGTGCTGGCGATTGACATCTTGAAGTCTGGTGATATCAATATCAGAGGTAGGCAGCATCTTGCGCATGACGGTAGAGATATAGCTCGTCTTTTGAGCAAGCAGCTGATCAAGAGGAGTGACTGTATCATCACCATCGACGTCCGAATCAGAGCCTTCGGGACCGTTGCTCAGAGTCCACGATGGTGCTGGATTCATTTTGAGGAAGCGAGCCCGGAGACGGCGTTCGTATTCTCGGCCAGAGATCAGGGACTCGGATTCGGTCAGACGTAGTTTTTTCAGTTTAGATGCAGAAGTCAACGAGACCGTGAGCTTCTCATCATCGCTATCCATCCACACATCGCTCATATCCGAATCATCATCCTTTGAGTCCTCAGACTCCGAAATCTGGTTGTCAGAATCAGGATTAGCACCATCATCTACAAAGAATAAGTTATCGCCGGGGACTCCATCAAGATCTGGGTCCTCTTCCGCTTCCGATTCGCTGGCCTCGGAATCTTCAATTCTGAAATCGGTCAGGGCCTTGTCGAAACTTTCGATATCTCCAAAAACCAGCTTCTCGAGCTCGAGTTCCTCTTTGGATTTCTCGATCGACATTGAAAAAAAATAAAAAAAAGATTATCTAATCGACTTTTGGAGTATTTCAGCTTTGGCACTCGGTCTCTGGGCTGAAATCATCATAAGCCTGAGCTGAGCTGTATTTGAGATTTTTTTTTACTCTGTAAGTACAAGACTTGTCTAGACTCTATATACACCCTTAAAGTACTAGTCATTGGCCGTTTTTATTGCGTGCTTACCTACCCCAGCTCTCACCATATGATCGCACATTGCTGGGCTTGGATTATGCTGCATGTACATAATCCCCTGCAGCTGTGTGGCAACTTAACTTTACAATGAGCAAACACGAACTTTTGGTTTACGGGGCTTACGGCTACACAGGCAACCTGATTTGCCAGCACTTGGAGAGTCTTGGCGAACAATTCATTGTTGCTGGACGTGACGAGGCCAAGACCCAGGCGCTTGCCAAACAGTACAACAGGCCCGCCAAGGTTTTTTCGCTTGATAACCGTAAAGCTACGGTGGAGGCTCTAAAGGATGTTTCCGTCGTATTGCACTGCGCTGGCCCTTATTCTGCTACCTCGAAGCCAATGGTCGATGCTTGTATCGAAGCAAAAGCCCACTATCTGGATATCACTGGCGAGTACAAAGTCATCGAGGCAGTAGCTGCGCGTGATAGCGAGCTTCGCAGCGCCGGTATTCTGGGCATGCCAAGTGTCGGAATGGACGTGGTTCCCTCAGACTGTATCGCTGTGTATGTCGCCGAGAAATTGCCGTCGGCGACTGACCTCAAGATCTTCATCCACGCCACGGGTGCGCCATCTCCTGGCACGCTCAAGACATCTCTCGAGCAAGCTGGCCAGCCAAGCAAAATACGCAAGAATGGCAAAATTGTGGACGTTCGATTCGGTAGCATGATCGAAAAAGTAACTTTCCCCGACAACTCGCAGAAGACTTTGGTGAACATGCCTTGGGGTGACATTGCCTCGGCATACTATTCGACGAAAATTCCCAATATCTCAGTCTACATGAACGTGGTGACCCCAATGATGGCCAGAATGAGCTATTACACCGGCCCCTTGTTGCGCACATCTCTTGCCCAAGCTGCTCTTCGCGGTATGGTCAACTGCTTCGTTACCGGTTCCGATGAAACCCAGCGCGACTCCACCTCGTCCGAGTTCATCGCAATTGCTTCTGATGATAAAGGTAACGAACGCAAAGCCTACTTGAAAGTCAAAAATGGCTATGCTTTCACTGTGCTTTCGGCCGTTGAGATTGCCTTGCGGGTAATGAAGGGAGATTTCAAGCCTGGCTTTTATTCCCCGGCTACTTTGTACGGCGCCGATTTAGTTCTAGATATTAGCGGCTCTGAACGTAAAGATCTCTAAGTAATGTACTCTTTGTGTTTTAGCTTCCGCTCCATCACCGGTCTTAGGTAACTCAAGCCGGCATCAAATTTTTTGTCAAGTCGAGATCAATGTCTGCTCAATCCGTCACACGGGCTCTTCGTGACAGCAAAACGCCGGTGATTGAGCGATGTCGTATTTCTAATGAATTACTGGTGAATTCCAGATTCAACAATCGAGACGTTTATCTCCCAAAACGGGAAATGGTCGTTCTGCAGTGGCTTTTTGACTTGTTAGCACAAGATGCAAATGCGAGAAACGAGCCGGAGATCTGGAAAAGCTTTGTGCGTAGCTGGGAACGGTGCGACGATTCTACAAAACGCCAGCTCTATCAGAAAAGTAAGTTTTCGCAGATCCTTGTTAGCTCTATTGAGCAGGGGCCCATCGATGCTATCGATCTGGGTGTGCAGGCCATCTCCAAAACGTTATTGATCCATTTCTTAAATGACCAACAGGCATGTGCTTTTATCTCTGGGTTCTTCAAGCGCCAATTGAAAGCCGATAGTATTGAGAAACTTATCTCCAACACGGTTCTTTCCCGGCCTAAGCTGCTCAAGGGCCAGGTAAATATGCTACCTTTACTTGTGGATACCCCTCATTTGGATGCTCTTGTGCGTAATCCTGGGGTCGATATACTGACTTTCGTTGAGGAAAGCCATGTTCCAATTGTATTTTCTTCTGTGATCTCGACGGGGGTTGACGTTCCGTTCCGTTTCCTCTGGCTGACCAAAAAATTCCCTGGCCAAATCTCCAACATGCTAGAGATGCTGGATACGAAACTAGATAAAGACGTTGTTGTTAATCTTGTTGATGAGCAGCTCAAAAACGAAACGCCGGACTGGAAGGTTGTCGCTTCTCTCTGTAATATGCACTATGAGCCTGTGTTTGACAGAATTGACGATATTTTGAACAAACTTAAAGTACGCTGGTCGGAACAAGTTATAATTACCCTCATCACAAAATACTCTCAAGCACGGAGACTCCCTGATTTTCTGGTGCTTTTGTCCAAGAACTTTGCGGTCGAGGGCTTGCGACAGGATGAGCGCACGGTTGAGACTCTTCGCATTTCAGTTTTATCACTGTCGGCACATCAACTTGTGCAGCTTATCAAAATTTTAAAGGGCGAATGGCTGACTTTTGTCGTCGAAAACCTATCCTTTGTCAATACTTCACAGGAGGCTAGGGAGGTGTTGGCAACTGTTTCAGAAACCGATGATCGGTTTTCTTATGCTGCAAATATTCTATACCCCTCCATTAAGAAAAAAGCGTCGTCCAGCAAAAACCGTGACTGGGCTAGAATAGCTTATCTTTTAAGGCTGAAAGAGCTCGACCCTGGCTTTGAGGTACGTGATAAAGATGTCTTGCGCTGGCAAGGCTCTCATCGCCAAGCATATGATTTGACTGTGAGGTTCTTCAAGGTTTTGGACATGCTTGAGGAGAATCAGGTACGGCACATAGTCTCATTTTTAACCTCTGTGAATGACTTGTTTGCTCAGCCTGAGATATTTGAAACTAAGATTGTATTCCAAACGCTCCTGGATCGGGCTATGAAATGCTCTAATAAAAGCTCACTACTACTCGTCCCTATCGACTCGGTGAGTAAAAAAGAAAGAGCTGCAATCTTTGATCTAGCGTGGACAGAGGCTAATTTCGCTCTCCTTGAGCATTGCTTGAACTCTCAATCCAGAGTCACTATCGACCATGAGCCCGGAGACTATTTGAAGCTGTTGAGAAAATTAGATGCCAATCAGTTCCAAACTGCTATTGATATCACTAAACTTTTAGCTGTCAACGATAGCTTCATCCAAAAACTGAAAGGTACAAAGTGGAGTTTCAAGAACTGGCAGGACCTTGTTGTTGCTGCTGCCTCTGGTTATGAAAACAAAACGGAGCTAGCTGAGGTGGTTAAAACCAATTTGAAGTCTGGAAAGTTCATTGAGCAGAGTGTCGCTGTGCTGAATATGATTCGGGATGTTTCCACAGACTTGGGTTTAGATATTTCAGCACTCGCTATTTCAAACCCCTCCCCATCAATCTTTTCTCTTCTTTGCCACCAAAACTATGACTGGCAGCTGATTTTTGCTTATTTCGTTTATACGGGTTGCAAATATAACCAAGTCTTTGATGCTTTCTTGTTAGAGTTGGATTCCGAAAGCTTTTCTGCACTTGTGTCGGTTGCTAGTACTGGATACTATGCTGTTTTTAAGCAAGCTTGTGCGCGGCTCCAAAAAAGTCCAGAACACGTCGCAGTTTATACTCGCTTATTGGTTTCGTTGCAAGCACGATTTGATTCCCTGACCGAAAATCAAATACGCGACTTCTTATCGCTTTCAGAGTATGTGATTCGCGAGCAATCATGGATTCTAGACCAATATGCGCTTGAAGCTACTTTGAGAGTAATTTCCAGAATTGCATCTTCCGAGTTCCAAGCTGAGGTTTCAGACTCGCCAGGCCTCTACTCATCCATGTGCTTGGTTACAAGTCGTATCTTGCTTTTTCAGAGATATAGGCTAAACGGACGCATGGCACTGGTTATTGCAACTCTGACGCAACTACTGGCATGCCTGGGTAAATCCGGCGGCAAGCACTCTGTGACATGGTTGGATGCAAATGCTGAGCAGGCAGTCCTTTTTGTCCGTTTGGTTGGAAACCTGTGCAACCCTCCACAACAGAGCGTTCGAGAAGCTGCGGGCGAGCATGGTTTGACTTCGTCAGTTGCTAAGGCGAGACGCTATGTCGCACAGCATGTTGGCGTGTTAATCGGAAATGCTGTGCACATTTCGCTGCAGTCTGGTTTCAAAGCAGACGTGAGAGCTGCGTTGCAGCCTGGATTGTTTGCAATGATCGATACCGTTGGAGTTCGAGACTTTATGGGCGTTACTGCGTCTCTTGATGGCCCTGGTCGCGCGTACCTCAAGCCTATCTACGACGAGTACAAAGCCAGCGGCAAATGGTCTAAAGATTGAATGCAATAAATAATGATCTATGATGTAGCTATACTAATGTTCAGGAACGTACCTGATGAAGGCTTTTTCGTCGTCGTAGTCCGGCAGCCGCTCGTGTCTGTGGGAGGTAGAACCAACACAGATGGAAAGAATCCAGGAAACTCCGGCAATCAGGCAGACCGCCACGGTGGCCCAGGCTAGACCGAGTCCGCTGCTTCCGATGCTTGCAGAAACACCGTATTTCTTGACATAGTCATTGAACTTGCTCTCATAAATAGAGTAGATTCCAGTTGCAATGCCAGCAGCGACGAGAGACGACAAGAACGACAACACACTCACAAACGCGGACGCAAAAGAGGCTCCTCGCGACCTAAAGGCGAAAAAGCCTATAATGATTTGGATCGCTGAAAGACCCATAGTGGCAATCCAAAGAGCCCACATTGCAATTGAAGCGGACTTCAGAATAGATTCGTACTCAGTGACCTCACTCGGTAAGTCCACGTACTTGAGCACGCTGGCGATTACTGTCGACTGGCTTTCTGCGAACGTAACAATGTCAAACCAGAAGGGCTCCATCGGCGTCTTGCACCCTTTTATGGATGTCGATCCATTTCCGGATTTGGTTCCGTAGCAGTAGCCGTTGGAACCGATCTGGTAAATTGGATAAAGTCCAGCTTCCTCTGTCATAGATGCAAGGGATATTCCGTCGACACTTATACCCGAGAAATCTAGCTTCATGTAGTAGATATCACGTAGCCCCCACGCGTGCTCGTAGCAGCCAAAGAAGGTGATAATAGCTAAAACGATGGTAGCTACCGTGAATAGCATTGGAAAGATGGTAATAAAACAGCCACGACCGAAACCCATTTTTTCTAATATTTCCCCAAAAGTTCAGTTGTATATGTTGATGTGTTTCTCCAGGGGTCAGTCGGTTTGATTTCTTCTTTCCTTATATAGTAATAGCCGTTTAGTCATCCCGCCAGCCCCGTGGTGCGTGTTGATGCTTAAGCCTCGAGCACTTGACAACGCTCTGACTGTATGAAATTGAGTTTACTGAGCTATTAGCCATTCGAAAGTGATTATTTAGGCTTGTGAGCCAACGTTGTCTAGGTTTGCGGTGTGTGCGAGGGACTCGCTTCGGCCATCTAAAAATAAACTCGGCTGTTCCTCGCTGCAGGGTTATGATGGCTAGAGATATCCCGCAGGCACATGCATGACACAGCCGTTGAAGCTTGATAACTCTTCAACGAAAAAATGTGTGCGTGTAACGAACAGTACGTATGCGCACTGCGAACAACTTGACTTTTGGTGCTTTGGATCAGAATTTCGTGACAGAAACGATCATCGAGAAGCCCATCGATCGTGACGTAGGCGGAGGCTACGAAACCGCTAAAACAGCACTGCAGAAGCGGTTATGAAACCCACAGTACCCTTTCCAAAATTTGGCAAAACCACAAGCTTCAAGTCGATGCCAGGTCTTATATTTAAATCTCATACTGCATAAATATAGATAGCTAAGACTCATGGTTTGAAGCCCATACTTTCTTGGTACGCTTGGCGTTCTTGCGCAGTGAGCCCATCGATATCCCAGATCGCAGACGAGGTGCGAGGGCGCAACTTGCGTTTGAAGATCGTAGTCATTTCCACCGGCTTGATCGGTCCGAATACAGAGACTGGATCAATGTTGATCTGGCGACGGATGCGCTCTGCTACCTCGGGGGTATAGGCCCAATCTTGTAAAATAGAGCCCTCCGAAGAGTCAGAAATGTCAGGCAGAGTGACTTCTGCTTGCATCACGGGAGGAAGACCAACAACCTGAATACGCTGAGCCTGTGCCGTAGCTTGTCCAAGTGCTGGGCGAAGGGGTATTTTGAGTTTCGGCAAACTCATACTAGGCGGCGGCATAGCTTCACCTGTAGTATTCGCGGTCACTGGTGCATTCGCAATCACTGGTGCAGGTTTGGAAACTGCAGGAGGCTTGCGAGCTTCTAATGTAGGAACAGTAGCTTCTGTCTTTTGTGACGAGATCTGTCGCCCTGCCTTGGGCGTGTTGAGTTTGGCTAGTAGCGGCTTTATTTCATGTGCTGCAGCTTTACTGTCCTTGTCAACAACTTCAATAACGGTAGCACCAACCATTGTCTTATGGCTGACCATATCGTCATCATACACAATGCTTCCAGCACTATTGACTCTGGTCGTAACAGCCCTTGGTTGTCTGTTTGACCCGTTATTGTCTTGTTCGGTCCTGTGAGTCATGGGAGTATCGCAGTTCTCAGTCAAATTTCTTGCTTTCTGGATTCTGGCAGCGCTAGCACTTGTAGGAAGAAGTAACCTAGCCAACCCGGTAAGCTCGCGCTCTTTCTTACGCGGCGACTGATTGGCTGGTAGTATTTGCTTTTTCTCTGCATGTCCGCCGGCCGCCTTTGTTGAAACGTTCGACACTTCAATCAATGGTCGTCGAGGCGACTGTAATGTTTGTGTCTTTGCTGGAGAGACAGATCGCGACACCTTGGACGCATTAGCACCCAGCCGGGGCTTTGGAATTGTGTTGACACTGCGAGACGCTGCCCGTCTGGCGGTATGGCTTCCGGGAATGCCCACAAAGCGGTGTTGTGGGCTCTCTGTCAGGGCCATCTTCTTGTGAACCGGTGAACGGATGGGGGAGAGACAGGCTCTCTTTTGAAGCACAATTTCCGATTTCGGAGCCGCAAGCGATACTGTGGTGAATTTGATTTCGTCTTTTTCTGCGTCAACATTTTCCTCTGGACCCGCCGGGGGTTTTCCAGCTTCTCGCTCCACCTTGATGTGGCCACCTATCAGCTTTTCCAGGCAATTGAACGTTTCATTAACATGAATTGCACAGTTTTCTGTTTGATTATCGAGCACCTGGCCCGCAAACGCTAGCTCCGCAGTGATCCAGGTTCTTGCGCTCATAGTGTAAATAGAATTGTTTACACCCTGACGTAATCAGCTTTAGCATCGAAGACGAATTGTCAACTGGTTGCAAGGGGTAAGTAATTATGCACTACGGATCTAGCAACAAAGCAGAGTAGTTTTTAGGTTTAGGCGTAAGGGTCGTCCTCAATCTTGGGCGCGAAGTAGTATCTGACGTGGCCGCTGGGCAGCTTGTACTCAATTTGGGCAGGCATACCCGCTGTCATCTGAAGGGTGACGGTGGATGAGAGAGAAGAGGCCTTTGTAATGTTGCTGAAGTACTGCAAATTAAACGACAGAGACACGGGCTCCGACAGTGTGATGTTGATGGAGTTCTCAGCGTTCTCCATGTCGACGCAAGGCTTGAAATGGGTAGAACCTTTTCCAAGATCACCCTCTGCACTAAATCTGATACCCTCCTTGTCAATTTCAATAGTTACTGCCTCAGAGAGAGCAGAAAGGTCCCGCAAGGTCCGCTGGAGAACCGCAGCGGACATTACCACTGTAGCAGCGTACTCAGTCTCGGGGATGGCCAGGTACTCCTGGTCAATGTCCATCAAGCGGAGATTGAACTCGGAAATGCGGTCAGCCTTGGAGTCCTCAAAGGTCAAAATCAGCTCATTGGCTCTGTCTTCCGAGCGGAGGGTCAGAATGTCATCGTTGTTGGCACAACGCAAGACCGTAGCAAGCGAATTAATGTTCAAACCCAAGGTAACACCACGATCGCATCTGTACTCGCTGAAACCGTCAGATCCCAACAGCAGGGACACCAGGACAATGTGCGACTTGTCGAGAGACTGAAGAGCCAAACCGGTCTCATTGCATTCGATGTTGCACTCTCCGAGCATATCACGGATGGCTTCAACAATCTTTTTGAGCTGGGAGGCTGCGTCGAGTTTTGCTTCCAACATTGTCGTGTTCGATTAGATGTGCCAAAATGGAAAACGCGTCGTAATAACCGTGACGGTTTCCTAACCCCTAATTACAACATCGCACCGGGTAACGCCCTTCAACCCCTGCGCACGGCGCGGCATAGAATGGAACATAAAAATATTGAAATTACAATTGAAATTAGTACTGAATTGCAGCGTTCGGGTGCATCACGTATGAAGTCTCTTCGGGTGCTTCCAGCGCGTCTCCCAAATTTTGAACCTCGCCATGTAATACCATAAGGATGTTATCTTTGACCAACCGTTTGATGACCTTTTTGGTCAGCTCGCCCTCTTCGAAAAAGGCCTGCTCGGAACCAATGTTTTCCTCTTGCGTGTGCTGGTACCAGCCGATCAGTTCACTTTCGCTCACAGGGCCATTGTTAGGCTCCATGTTGATTCTTTGTAGAATCAGATTCATCATACTCATGTATTTCTCGTAGGTGATTTTGGTCTTCTGGGACCCCAAGCCATCTTGGGTTCGAGATCGGTCGACCGAGACAGAAGTCAAAGGCACGCTATCATCCCCCATCTCTATATCGTCACGGTCCGCATGAATGATCGATTGCCGTAGCAAATTGAAGGCTTCGCGAACAAACTCGGGCGTGATCTCGTCGACGCAGTGGGCACGAGCAATGGCTTCACTTAGGCGAATCATAGACTCAAGCTGTCGAACAGTAATTCTGTAGCTACTTTTGCCAATGCCCAATGTGTCATTTGCTCGCAGCTCTTTGTATCTCTCAACAACATAATCACGGGATTCTTTGGTAAGTTTTGGCTTGAAGGTGCGAGCATACTGAATATACCGCTGGAGCTGTGCCGTGCTGAAAGGTGGCTTGATCGCTGCGTCGCGTTCCATGTGAAGATTTACAATGTGATCGGCAAGACGGGTGTCAGCTTGCTCGTTGCAATCATCTAGAATAACAAAAAAAAGATCGAAACGAGACATGATAGGCGCACTCATCATGATATTCGCCCGCAAACTAGCTTTCCTGTTGTATCGACCTCCGATGGGATTGGCAGCAGCTAGGATAGAAGTCCGAGCATTCAGTGTAGCATGGATACCTGCTTTGGCGATGGAAATTGTCTGCTGTTCCATTGCCTCATGGATCGCAACTTGATCCCTTAGATCCATTTTGTCAAACTCGTCAATAGCACAAATACCATTGTCGGCCAGCATCAAAGCACCAGCCTCGATAGTAAACTCTCCAGTCTCCTCGTCTTTCACTACCGCAGCAGTTAGGCCAGCAGCCGAAGACGCTTTGCCTGACGTATAAACCGAACGAGGAAGGAACCCACAAACGTACTTCAAGAACTGCGACTTTGACGTAGAGGGATCACCCACGATGCAGACATTGATATCTCCACGCAACTGAATACCCTCCAGAGTTGTTTTGTGTACACCGCCCATCAGCTGCAAAAGAACTCCTTTCTTGACAATTTCGTGGCCCCACACAGTAGGGGCGATCGACTGGATGAGTTTAGCATATAAATTTTCAGAATGTACCATTTCTCTCAGCTCTTCGATTTCCTCCTGAGTGAGTGAATTAAGCAGCTCTTCTTGGTCTTGGTTATCTTGAGAGCCGTCACCTCTAAGGTCGGCCTTGACGCCAGAGTGCCTGCTGTCACCCTCCTGAACCATACATGCCATGAAGGCAATACGATAAGTCAAGTCGCGAGCCCCTAGTGCTTTCAACCCACGCACGGCACCATTGACGCCCTCACCACGGCCGAGCCCTTTGTGATCTCTGAAAGCGAGAGGCTTCGTTCCCGGAAGTCCCAGCTGCGAGACATCTGGAATAACAATCTCTGTACCTGTGAAGACACACTTGTCACCAGCTTTGGCCTTGTCCACAATGTCGCCTCTAAGGATGATATCCAGAGTTCTCGGCATCGAACCAGTTGGTATCTCTCCAGGATTCTCTTGAACTCGAACGCGCTGCCAGTCAACAAACTTAGATTTGGGCACTACAAGTGACCACGATGTGCGGTTTTGACAGGTTGGATTTGGACACATGTAGGGCTCTGTGTACTTGTAAACCTGCTCCACGCCGTGTACCATAGTTCGACAAGCGTCGCACGTGAAAGTGGCCCTGTAGAGTTCTGGTCTTACCTCTGAGGTTCGTGTGACTGTACCAGAAATCGAAACGAGGTTGCCGATGCTCTCTGTACGTATATCACGAATTTTACTGATCAGAGGCAGCCCGTAGAACGCGATTTGAAAGAACTTTTCATTTTCAACTGCAGATGATACTGTCGACGAAGCCGCAGATGATATTGGAGCAGACTCGCTTTGTGTGTTACTGCTTCTGGCTTCAGGGTCAGCCCCAGTGCCACTGGAAGGCTGCGCATACAGTAGCGAAGGCTCGTATCGTTTGATGATATTACGCAGCCCTTTCTGTAGGAATGGTAAGAACCGATAATATTGCTCAGATATCGCCTGCGCTAGAATGGAGTCATGGCTCCTCAAATGGTTGAAATCAACGTAAATAGTAGACAAGTTGTACAGGCGTAGTCCATGAACCTGTTCGATATAGTATCGTGTCGAATCATTGGGAACCTGGAATGTGTTCAGGAATAATTCGAAGCTTTCTCGCACTTTTTCACCGGTGGCATCTGTAACTTTAGGGATTCCTGCCAGGTCGGCCAACGCTGCGCGACGAACATCTTCCAGTGGTAAATCGTCATGGTTGGCAGGGTTGTTTGAAGATGTGCCGCCGAAGGCTGGGTTCAGAAACGCCTGGGAGCTCATCTGCCTAGACATGGGTGTTCCAGCACCAGTCATGCCTGAGTCCGATGGCGGAACACTCGTTATGCCGTTTGATGGAATATCTGATGAGTTCATGCACGTAAATGGAAAAGGAGTAGGTGTTTGTCCCAGAACAGCTTAGTGGCCATGAATCCCTAACCCGTGATTTGTGCGCGTCACTTTCCTGTTTTTAACTGATTTTTCCAGTTGCTCAATGGATTTACTTCATTGTGCTACTAGTTATATAGCAATACTAAATGAGACGAGTGGTGGATTCAGATATATGGTTCCCGTCTCCACAAGGGCCCATCTAACATTTTTCGCTCTAGTAAGGCGACACAGCCGTAGTGTTGTTCAAAGAAGTTTTGGCATTGTAGGCAGCAGTTTATGATATTAGAATTTTGAAAAGGTTCGCCATCTGGGTAACAATATTTCTACAAATAATACGCTGGAGTTAAGTATGCTCTGTTCCTTAATTAAAGCTCGTAACCCGTCCTGATCATAAATGACTTCGGCTTTGGCTCATATCAACCACCGGAAGATCTGAATATACAAGAATTAATGATTTTATATGTCCAATTGAGGCCATGAAATGTGTCACAGAAAGAGAACGAACATTATTTGTTCACAAAAGCGCACCTTTCTCAAGTTCTAGCTCATGGACGATGAATAGGTCAATTATTCGTTTCAGGAGCTGAAGATGTCAACAAACGAAAATCTTATCTTTAGCTGATGCAGCTGATGGTACTTCATAACCAGATGTTCTGGTGGTAAGTTGAACCAAATACAAGAATGTACTGTAGATAATGTGTGACCATCTATATTAAAACAACCATTTCACACCAGCTGCGGCCATATCCAGATGAAAGCAAGACTTCCCGTCCGATCAGTCCTATTGAACCATCTGAGAGCCTTACCAAGTATTACAGTGGGAGACCATGTGAGAACAGAAGGTGCTGCAGTTTACTTTTCCAATTTTTTTCTCTTTTTATTTCCATTTTATTTTATTTTTAATGGAGGTCACAGTGAAGTAGCGAACTGATGTCATGGCCGTGTGAATTAGTGGAAGATCATCTTTACTGAGCATTCACACGGCGAGAGCATGCTTTCGGTCCTGGCCGTGTGAGTCAGTGGGAGACCACTACCAAGCAATTTACTCGACGGGACCATTTTTCAGTCCAGGCCGTGTGAGTTAGTGGGAGACCACCTTTGTTCACTGCCTCACATGGTGAGAGGATGCTTTTAGCCAGAAACCAATTGGTCAAGATATAGCAGTTTTATTACTTTAAAAAGTTGTTCGAGAACTCCATTTCAGCACCTCTGGCCAAAGCATGCTGTCGCCGTGAGTTAGTGGGACGACCACCTCTACCAAGCAGGTTCACACGACGAGGACCATTTTTCAGTCCTGGCCGTGTGAGCTAGTGGGAGACCACTTCTACCAAGCACTTCACACGAAGGGGACCATTTTCCGGTCCTGGCCGTGTGGGCCAGTGGGAGACCACCTCTGCTAAGCAACTGACCCGGCCACAGCATGAAAAATCCATGCAAGACTCGGTACAAATTATTTAGCGCTATAAATACCGATTACAAAAGTCTGACTTCAATAAAGCCAAAATGACCTTCATGAAAAGAAAACAAAAGCTTGAAAAAGCAAAAGATGAAATCGGAAACGGTTAGTCTGGTTTCTTTTCAAACGCAGCCGAGTTTGGTTGTGAAAAGAGTTGATTCGTTTGACGACGAAATCTCAAGCACAACCTTACAAAGGTGTTTACCTAAACGGTCTTTACAAGCACTGCGCTATGTAAAGCGCTGATGGGTTCTGTGGATTACTAGCCGATGGCAAGAATTTACAGGAAAACACTCGGGGGCATGCTGCTACAGATAGCCGACTTTAGTCGTGATTTGTAGACAGAAACCTCCTCTCAAGTTATTGATGCTAAGCTTTGCTTAGCGGACTATAACTGAGGAACTCAAAAAGGCAATTGGATGCAGTTGATGTGTTGACAGTGTAACAACTGACAATGCAGAGACTGGGTGGAAACACGAACTTTGAAAAACTATGTTTCTTCGGAAACTAGGCAGTCCCTTGACTGTTGAAGATAGTTATCTGGTTGATCCTGCCAGTAGTCATATGCTTGTCTCAAAGATTAAGCCATGCATGTCTAAGTATAAGCAATCTATACAGTGAAACTGCGAATGGCTCATTAAATCAGTTATCGTTTATTTGATAGTGCATTACTACATGGATAACCGTGGTAATTCTAGAGCTAATACATGCGTAAAATCCCGTCTGGGATGTATTTATTAGATAAAAAACCAATGTCTTCGGACTTTTTGGTGATTCATGATAACTTCTCGAAGCGCATTGCCTTTGTGCTGGCGCTGGTTCATTCAAATTTCTGCCCTATCAACTGTCGATGGTAGGATAGAGGCCTACCATGGTATCAACGGGTAACGGGGAATTAGGGTTCGATTCCGGAGAGGGAGCCTGAGAAACGGCTACCACATCCAAGGAAGGCAGCAGGCGCGCAAATTACCCAATCCTGACACGGGGAGGTAGTGACAATAAATAACGATACAGGGCCTTTGGTCTTGTAATTGGAATGAGAACAATTTAAACCACTTATCGAGGAACAATTGGAGGGCAAGTCTGGTGCCAGCAGCCGCGGTAATTCCAGCTCCAATAGCGTATATTAAAGTTGTTGCAGTTAAAAAGCTCGTAGTTGAAACTTGGGATTGGAAGTCTGGTCCACCTCACGGTGCGTACTGGAACTTTTGATTCTTTTTGCCTGGACGTCTGTTGCGTTTAACCGCGTGGCAGAAAGGTCAGGCCATTTACTGTGAGAAAATTAGAGTGTTCAAAGCAGGCGTTTCGCTCGAATATATTAGCATGGAATAATAGAATAGGACGTATGGTTCTATTTTGTTGGTTTCTAGGACCGTCGTAATGATTAATAGGGACAGTCGGGGGCATCAGTATTCAATAGTCAGAGGTGAAATTCTTGGATTTATTGAAGACTAACTATTGCGAAAGCATTTGCCAAGGATGTTTTCATTAATCAAGAACGAAAGTTAGGGGATCGAAGACGATTAGATACCGTCGTAGTCTTAACCGTAAACTATGCCGACTAGGGATCGGACGGGTAGTTATTTTAGCTCGTTCGGCACCTCGTGAGAAATCAAAGTTTTTAGGTTCTGGGGGGAGTATGGTCGCAAGGCTGAAACTTAAAGGAATTGACGGAAGGGCACCACCAGGAGTGGAGCCTGCGGCTTAATTTGACTCAACACGGGGAAACTCACCAGGTCCAGACACAATAAGGATTGACAGATTGAGAGCTCTTTCTTGATTTTGTGGGTGGTGGTGCATGGCCGTTCTTAGTTGGTGGAGTGATTTGTCTGCTTAATTGCGATAACGAACGAGACCTTGACCTACTAAATAGCTGGGTCAACAATTTGTTGAGTATCAGCTTCTTAGAGGGACTATCGGAGACAATTCGATGGAAGTTCGAGGCAATAACAGGTCTGTGATGCCCTTAGACGTTCTGGGCCGCACGCGCGCTACACTGACGCAGCCAGCGAGTACATAACCTTGTCCGAGAGGATTGGGTAATCTTGTTAAACTGCGTCGTGCTGGGGATAGAGCTTTGCAATTTTTGCTCTTGAACGAGGAATTCCTAGTAAGCGCAAGTCATCAGCTTGCGTTGATTACGTCCCTGCCCTTTGTACACACCGCCCGTCGTTACTACCGATTGAATGGCTTAGTGAGGCCTCCGGATGCGAATTCACTTGTGGGCAACCGCAACGAAGTCACAGAAGCTGGACAAACTTGGTCATTTAGAGGAAGTACAAGTCGTAACAAGGTTTCCGTAGGTGAACCTGCGGAAGGATCATTATTGAGATTCATATTACACCTGTGAAACAACTAAATTGCTTGGCCGAAAGGCCAATGTAACAAAAACTATTTTACCTATTATATCTGAAAAACGAAATCAAAAGTTTCAACAACGGATCTCTTGGTTCTCGCATCGATGAAGAACGCAGCAAAGCGCGATAGTTAGTGTGAATTGCAGACGTGAATCATTGAGTTTTTGAACGCACATTGCACCTTCTGGTATTCCGGGAGGTATACTTGTGCGAGCGTCATTTCATCTTCATAAAGCGATTTATGTGTTGGGGCTGTAGCCAGCCTTGAAAAAGATGATAGAGTACATGTTAGACACAATGTGCTTTTCTATATTTTTGACCTCGTATCAAGCAAGATTACCCGCTGAACTTAAGCATATCAATAAGCGGAGGAAAAGAAACCAACAGGGATTGCCTTAGTAGCGGCGAGTGAAGCGGCAATAGCTCAAATTTGAAATCTGCCAACAGGCCGAGTTGTAATTTGAAGAAAGCAATTCTGGATGTGTCTTTGCTCAAGTTCCTTGGAATAGGACATCATGGAGGGTGAGAATCCCGTGATGCGAAGGTAGCACGTCTATGTAGAATGTTTTCGACGAGTCGAGTTGTTTGGGAATGCAGCTCAAAGTGGGTGGTAAATTCCATCTAAAGCTAAATATTGGCGAGAGACCGATAGCGAACAAGTACTGTGAAGGAAAGATGAAAAGAACTTTGAAAAGAGAGTGAAAAAGTACGTGAAATTGTTGAAATGGAAGGGCTTGAGATTAGACATGGTGTTTAGTGTTCCACTTTCTTTTGGGAATGTGTACTCGCTTTACACCGGGCCAGCATCAGTTTTGATGGGAGGATAAATGGTATTGAATGTGGCTGCTTGCAGTGTTATAGCTTTATCAAATACTTCCAATCGGGACTGAGGACCGCGCATTTGCTAGGATGCTGGCGTAATGATCTTAAGCCACCCGTCTTGAAACACGGACCAAGGAGTCTATTGCCTATGCGAGTGTTTGGGTGTGAAACCCGTACGCGTAATTAAAGTGAACGTAGGTTGGGGCCTTCGGGTGCACAATCGACCGATCCTGACGTTTTCAGATGGATTTGAGTAAGAGCATAGTTGATGGGACCCGAAAGATGGTGAACTATGCCTGAATAGGGTGAAGCCAGAGGAAACTCTGGTGGAGGCTCGTAGCGGTTCTGAC